TATCGAGGCCAAGCTCGAGTCCAAAGAGGCCGAGCCCGAAACCTCAATGCTTGGGCCCATGTCCATAAAGTTGGGCATGGGACACTAATGCTAGTGGCATGGCCTACAACTCCAGTACCCTTGCTCAACTCCATAGCGCCCTAGCCTAGGTCCACAGAGGCCGTGGTCAAGACTCCGATGCTCGTACCCGAATTCCTAGCGCCCTAGCCCAATTCTATTGAGGCCTGACTTAGGTCCACAGCGCCCAGGATCAAGACTTTGCGCCTAGGACCGAGATCATTAAGGTTGGGCCCGGGACTCGGGAGCTACTCGTATTCATTGAGATTGTGCTTGTGTCCATCAAGGCCAAGCCTGGGCCCTAGCGCTTGGGCCCGGATCCATCAAGGCTGGGCTCGAGTCCCCAGCGCTCGTGCTAGTGTCCCCAAGCCTAAGACCGAATGCATGGAGGCTGTGCCCGAGATCCCAATGCTAGTGCTAGTGCTTAAATCCTAATGCCAGGGCCTATATCCATCAAGGCCAAGCTCGGGACCCGGTTCCCACGCCTAGGTCCATCGAGGCCAAGCCTAGCTCCATTAAGGTCGAGCTCGGGTGTCAGGGACTTTGGAACCCATGACTCAATCCCCGGTGCCCGGGTCTATCGAGGTCGAGCTCAAGTCCCCGACGCTAGCACCTGGGCGCAAGTCAATAGAAATTATGCCCAAGACCCTAGTGCCAGTGCCAAAGTCCCTGACACCTGTGCCTGGGTCCATTGAGGCTGGGCCCATGCCTCCATTCTTGGCGCTTGGGTCCAAAAATCAAGCCTAGTCGCCAAAGACTAAGGCACAGGTGCCGCGGTCCCAAGCACAGACCTTGGGTTCCGGGCCTTGATGGACTTGAGCGCGGGCATTAGGTTTCTAGGCCTTGGCCTCGATAGACTTAAGCTCGGGCTCGGTAAAACCAGGCACAGGTACTAGGGTCTTGAGCTCAGACATAAGGGACTCGGCCTTGATGAACTGGGGCCAACCTTTGTGAACCAGAGCCCGGGCACCAAGGACCTGAGCCCAGGCGCCAGGGACCCAAGAATGATCATTGTGGTCCTGAGCCAGCCTTAAACTAGCGCTCGGGTATCAGGGACTCAAGCTCGAGCAATGGGGACTCGAGCACCTTCACCGAGTTCCCGGTCTCAGGAGCCAGGGTTCCATGCTCGCCCTTTGTGAACTCAAGCCTAACATCGATGTACTTGGGCTAATATTGATGTACTCGGGCTTGAGTGCCGATGATACGGGCATAGGCACTGGGGCCTCGGGATTGGCCTTTGTGGATTTGGGCCATGGCGGCAGGGAGCTAGGTACAGGCATCGGGTTCTTGGGCCCAGCTTCTATGTACCCAAGATCGATGCTCGTGCTTGTGCTTGAGACCAAGTGCCTGTGCTCGGGTCCTCGACGCCCAAGTCAGGGTCCATCGAGGATGAACTGGGGACTATGGTGTCCATATCTAGTTCATCGGCTTGTATGCCTATTTGGGAAAATCAAATTAAATTTTCCTTGCCTATCGACGAAAAATGTTTTCCAAATTATTTTTAAGTTCCTGTCAAACACTGAAAAATATTTTCATTTTACAGGAAAATGTATATTAGTAGAAGCATATCACTACATTAACTTGTTATATATCATGGAAACTTCTGTTTAATTTGTTTAATTCCCTTATTTTCCAATCCGTATGCATCATAGAACAGGGAACTGCTCACTAAAAATCGGTTCCGAAAAATTGGAACAAAAAACTGCCTATTAGTTCTATAAATCTACCTGGGAGCTGGACCGCTGGTCCGATCTAAAAGAAAATTGCCGATTTTGATCCGATCCGGTCCGGACGGTTCCTGATTCCTTTTCACGTCCCTAACTTGCAATATACACTTATAGAAGACAAAATAATCATGCCCTCGTAGCCACAGAGCAAACTTCTTCTAGACGACTGGGTTAATTATTCCACAAAATCGCACATGCTCATAAATACTATAAACAAATTGTTCTCTTGCCATCTCTACCTAGACGAGGTCGAACCTATGTGTAGAGAAGATGCTAAAGCCAGAAAGCAGAGGAAAAGAAGAAAAAGTAAATGGATAAGATAAGCCTCGTGACTCATCATGTCAAATTTGACTTCATTGGAACTTGCCTCCACTAGTAGGCTTGTACCTCCCACCATTATAATCTCTCTCTCTCTCTCTCTCTCTCTCTCTCTCAAGTCATTGTTTTCACAATATGCCAGTGTCGAGAGAAGGGGCCCAATCTTTGCCAATTTATCTGAAACTTTCTGAAATTTGTGTCCTCACATGATCTTATCTTACAATATATCATCGATGCAAAGGAAAAAGGTAAACCCTAGAGCTTAGCTTGCATGCTCGTATTTTCTTCCCCAACTGAAACCTTGAATTGGGTCGGTGTGCTGTTTATGATGCCCACTTTGTCGGGTGTGCTTCTCGCATGCATCACTTTCACTGGTCCTGGATATGTCCTACCGGGATTGTTCTCTCTCTGAGTCACTTAAAGGTCCCTCTCTTATTAATTACACCTCGAGCAAGTATTTGTATCCCGCCATTCTCCGAGCTTGGGCAAGTATTCAAACTAATCAATCGGTCAAGTGTTTCGCTTAACATGGTACCCGCGCGAAAAAAAATCTAACATTTGATCATCAAAACACCCTCGTCGTCGTTTGGGAGATCGAGCTTTCCGACACCTGTTTTAATCAAGCCTTGCTTTTTTACAGGAGTTTTTCGACATAAGTTTCTCCTAGTAGCGACGCCAGAAAAATGCAGTGCGAGACAATGCACAGAGGAAAAAGAGTGGCGATGGAGAGCGACTTTGGGGGGGGGCGGCGCGGGGGGGGGACGAGGAAGAGAAAAGGACGCATGGAAGATGTTTTACTCGTCTAGTGAGGAGGGTCAATAGTCCAGCCAATGAGCTAACTTGGATGCGGCAAATAGAGGAAGATGGACCAGTGGAGGTCGCAAATAAGATGCAGTGTGAAGGTATATTTCCTCCTCCTCCTTTCTGGGATTTGAATGCTACTCCCATTCTGCATCGGATGCCCTCTCCTCCCGACACTACCCCCTACCATCTGCAACATACTTCTCATGCTTTACGACTTTTCTTGGTATTATATGCTTCTTTATTTTACTAGTACGAATTGATGGGAGTACGTAGTTACTGTTTTAGATGTGAACTGCAATTCATTGCATCTAACCAAAGTGATGAATACATGTATAGTGCGGGCTTTCGTTTCAAGAACAGCCAACTTTTCCTTCGGCTATCTACACAACCACCTTATAAGTGATGAATCACGACAAAGGTTAGATCGTCGCAAGCAAGGAGGAGAGACTATGGATGAAGATAAATTTATTTGAGATGTTGCCATGAGCCTCCGGGTCTAATGATGAGTCTTCACATATTTGCTATTTGTGAGGTTGCACTGCAAACGATTTCAGTCAAGTGTGGGGATGTGGTACATACTGGTTTGGACTGGAATCTGGATGCTTTCTTGTTAGATAGATGTTGGCAGGTGCACCAATACTATCAAACCATAATAAATTCGAATCGAAATTGGGTAATCGACCAATTATTCTTCTTCAAAAAGTCTTTTGGAACTTGGCAACCGAATTGTCCGAGCCGATCATCGGAACTCTGCCGCGCACCGTTCCTCACCCCTGGACAGTATTCCCTTTTTCATGGCAAACAGTCGCCCACTAGATCTTGCGAAAGAAGTGCCAAAATGGAATGATGTCGCAGCATCTAGAATTGCTTGGCAATAATGGAATGACCCAAGAAACAAGGCAAAGCTAACTCTAACCCTATATTTACGTGCATGTTTTTGAATGGTGGGTCGTGTTTCCCCGAGCCCCTTTTTCGAAAGAAATGTTCCACATGATTTTGCTCCATTAAGCTTGCGTGATCAAACATGTTTAAGGAGCGCACTGCGAAGATCCAATCATGTCCGCGCCCAAAAAAGTGCCCATGTCGTAATCCTCTGTTAATGGAGATAATGTCCGCCTTCCTCCTTCAATTATAACCTAATCAGGGAGAAGATGAAAAGGCGTCTTGGAATGCTGATCCTAGTCACGAGCTTAGTTAATGTCGGAAGCAAAGAGATGTCATATTGGATGCCTTGCTTTGCTCGAGACTTATGTGTTCATCCCATTATAATCCCCACTTTTGTGTTTTTGTTTCACGCTCGTACTTCTTAGTCAAGACAGTGGAAGCTTAATGAGTGGCTTTTGCTTTCTTGAATTCTCCTTGAAGTGCCAAAGACATAGAAGGCAAAAAAAGGCAATTCGGGACAAGATTCACACAGGGCGTATTCACATCATTATCCTTAACAAGCAAGGGCTGCTACATGGGCTCATTTCGGAATGACTTAATCTCCCATTTCTCGTTTTCTTCTGGCTTTCGGAAATATATGAATGCCGAATCGTTCGAAAACGCGAGCAGCTTGTGAGCATCGGGGGGCTAGATACAATGGCACAGCACCGCATCGAGGCTGTCGATGCAGATAAATACCCGGCTTTGGACTGAGGCGGAGGCGTGGCGTAACATAACAGGACCAAGACATTGAAGGGAGTCGCACATGGGGCGATCGAAGTGTGATCACGTCTAGTTCATAAAGATAACCTCCGCACAAGAATCACATTGCGCGTCTTACGACAGCAATCCTTCGTCGGCATAGGATCGAGGAAACCCTAGAATTCATTCGTCGCCACGAGGCTTTCCACACCCAATCCCACAACAATTGACAATAGTGGTCAAGCCGAAGCGGGTTATTCGCCTCCCGAGGGATCAAAGATTGGAATCCGAAATTTCATCTGTCCGACCCCTCGAAACTAGACACCTGTCAAGACAGCATTTACCGGCGGCCCGAAAAGAAAAGATAGGGTAAGATATATAGAAAATGAGAAGCAAAAAACCACTCCCACAAGCAGGAGTGAGAGGGACAGACAACATACATCGAGCACTATAAATACCACCTAACAAAACGCGCACAGAGACAGACGATGCATAACTACGCACAGCAAGCAAAGCTTAGAGCACCCCCTAGTTCCACAGAGAGACCCCATTTTTCATTATTTTCTCAGCTACTTTGATTTTTCCCCATTAATAAAAAGGGGAAAAGAAGGGAAATAAAGGAGTAGAAATTTTAAAGACCCCATTTTTCTGTTTCGTTCGTTTTCGCCGTCGTCATGGGCAACATACTCTTGGAGGCGCTCAACGTGCGGGTGGTCGGCTCCGGCGAGCGGTCCCTGGTGCTGGCCCACGGCTTCGGCACCGACCAGTCGGCGTGGCAGCGCATCCTCCCCTTCTTCACCCCGCACTACCGCGTCATCCTCTACGACCTCGTCTGCGCCGGCAGCGTCAACCCGGACTACTTCGACTTCCGCCGCTACACCACCCTCGACGCCTACGTCGACGACCTCCTCAACATCCTCGACGCCCTCTCCGTCGACCGCTGCGCCTACGTGGGCCACTCCTTCTCCGCCATGATCGGCATCCTCGCCTCCATCCGCCGCCCCGACCTCTTCACCAAACTCATCCTCATCGGAGCCTCCCCGAGGTAAAAGCACCCGTGCCCTCAAGTATCTTATCCTTTCGCGTCGTCTGAACTTTCCCACCCGATGGTCTCTCTACATAAGTTGACCGTTTGCGTTTCTGGATTTCGGCAGGTTCTTGAACGACAGGGACTACCACGGGGGGTTCGAGCAAGGGGAGATCGAGAAGGTGTTCTCGGCGATGGAGGCGAACTACGAGGCGTGGGTGAACGGCTTCGCGCCGCTGTCGGTCGGGGCGGACGTCCCGGCGGCGGTGCGGGAGTTCAGCCGCACGCTCTTCAACATGAGGCCCGACATCTCGCTGTTCGTGTGTCGCACCGTGTTCAACAGCGACCTGCGCGGGGTGCTGGGCCTCGTCCGCGTCCCCTGCTGCATCGTCCAGACGGCGAAGGACGTCTCGGTGCCGGCGTCGGTGGCGGCGTACCTCAAGAACCACCTGGGCGGGAGGAACACGGTGGAGATGCTCAACATCGAGGGCCACTTGCCGCACCTCTCCGCGCCGGGGCTGCTGGCCCAGGCCCTCCGGCGAGCCCTCCGGTGACCCGACGACGGCGGCGGCGGCGACCGCATCGCTATTAAAACTTTTCTTTTCTTTTCTTTTTTTTTTCTCGACTTATTAATGCCAATTTCCGGTGGGGCCTACGGGGAAGTTTAAAAAAGAAATAAGGAGGGTGCGAGAGGTTGACACCTGGCGAATATCTTGTGGACGCCGATCTTGCCGAAAGGATAAGTCTACGCACGTGGCCATCACGTGATGACGCGACCCCTTTTCTGTCCCTTCTCCTCTCGTCCTTGTCCCCCCTTTTTTTTTTTTCTTTTTGGTTCTTTTCCTTTTCTGTATTTTGTTTTTTGGTCGACTTTTCCTTTTTCTATAATAGCAATAGCATTATCGCTTTGGAAGATCTCTCTCCATTTTTCTCCTCCCTTCTTTTTTTTTCCTTTTTCGAGAAATAAAAAGGGCAAAAAAATCTTAATTTGGAAAATGAGATTTTTTTTTGGGCTCTGGAGGGGTTGTACGAATTCCTTAATGGGATTATGATTTTCTTTTTCACTTTTTTTTATTTTTATCTTTATTTCTTTTTTTGGGATATAGAAAAAACAGTTTGGGTTGTGCTGGAATCGCGTGTTGTTTTTGTCTTCATCGTCCAGATACAAAAGAAGGTCGAGCCCACCAAGTTGATGGGCCTTTTTTTCCTTTGCCTAATAGATTCTGTGGCCCTTAGATCTCTTATTGCCGGGAAAAACTTCTAGCCGTCCAGTTAATTTCACGCCATAATTCAGTGCATTTTCTCCTTGATAACTAATTTGGGCCGCCAAAAGAAAACTTAGTAAAAAAAAAAAAAAACAAATGAATTGTCATTAACCGCGGACGTCGTGGCGCTGGCAAACATTTCATAATGCGTATGCGTATTCTCCAAATGTCGTTTTCATCGTGTTAATTTGATGGCGCGCGTACGCGTACGGGTATATGTTAAAGTATGGGGCAGGATATACATTGGCATGTAAGATTGTTTGTCGACTTGTAGGTGCGCGTACCTATCCGCCGAGAAAAGACAACTCATTTGATAAGAGATCCCCTATGCTATTGCTATTGCTATGCCTATGCACCTTATGTGCTCATTTGGTGGACCATATGAGTACCATACGAAATCCTCTACGCGATCCCACCACAGGATTTTCTTGGACCTTTTTTTTCTATAACCCTAGGAAACTTAAATATCTCTCTCTCTTTTTCTTTTTTTTTTCGATTCGCTAGTCGGTGATATTCGGGTTAGCTTTCACTTACCTCGATCAGTTCATGTTCCCAGAAGATCTTAAGGGCGCACATGGTAGAAGTTCGATTTCTTCGGGTTCGATTTTCTTTGGTTTTGATTTAGGTCGGATTCGGATGAATGAAAAGCTCGGTTTCTTTGAATTCAGTTTATTTTGAATACGGGTTTATTGAAAAGTCTCTCAATGTGTTATGTCAAATAATGATGAAGGCTTCACTACATGTGTAGTAAAGTAATATTTAGGGATAATGACACAAACAATTCCTGAACTTTGATCCAATATGCAATGTGATTTCTGAACTTTTAATTTGTTCAATGTAATCCTTAAATTTTAGGCTAATGTTCAATGTGGTCTCTGGACTTTTGATACATGTTCAATGTAATCCCTGAACAATATAAAAATGTTCAATATAGTCTTTATACTTGAATTAATGAAAGGACTACATTAAATATAGTTCAAGGACTAAATTGAACATATACCAAAAGTCCTAGGACCACATTGAACAAATTAAAAGTTTACGGACCATATTGTACACCGGGTTAAAGTTCATGAACCATATTGAACAGATTAAAAGTTCAGGGACCACATTGCGTATTTGGTCAAAGTTCAGGGACTGTTTGTATCATTTTTCCCAATATTTATAACTAAAGATAAAAACTAGGAACAAAATAACTATGAAATCCTAATAAGATAATCTTAACCTAAATTAATAAATTATAAATCAAAATAGAATAATATCTTTAAAAATTTCTAAAATTCATAAAGACGATAAATATATATATATATATAAATCTCCTCCACAACTATTAGCTGATCCCATGTTAACTCGGGTTGAGCAGTATCGATTTTCAAGCAAGTATTTCAAGAGGATACTCTAGTTATTCACGGATGAAGTATGGTATTATGTCTTTGTGAGGTACTTTATGGACTTATGGGCATCTAGGTAGTCGAGCATCTGTGTTCGCCTTTGGATTTTCGATAAAATAAAAGAAAAATCAGAGCAAGTCATTCGAATAACCAAAGCTGCTCCATTTTTCACGAATCAATCCATCGATCTTTCCAATACGTGCCAATTCTGATTGCAAAGCTGGAGTGAGTTTGCTTTGGTTCGAATTGTGGCTGTGGCCTTGTGGGTGAAGTTCTGCAAACTTAGGATAGCCTCACTTGACTTCAAAGCCCGTTTTGGCCCACATCCAAAACCTTTATATAGACTATAGAGGGGCTTATACTATTTGTCTTTCATACAATTTGCCGTTAGAATTAGGAATGAGCAGTTCCAGGTTCCCTACAAGTTCTACCTAAAATCTAAAACCTACCCATTGAAACAGGTTCCTTATTCTTTAGAACTTGGAACCTAACCTACATACCCTAGAATCTAGAACTAATCCTATCACATATTCTAGGATCGGTTCCAAGGTCTACTCAAGTTCCACCTGTATTATTAATTGAATGATTGTAATGAATCATCACATTTTATGACCACCAATTGCTACTACAATCCATTGAGAACAACTTATAACACACGAAAATATGAAATATTAACAAAGTAAATATCTCAGTCATAAAATGGAAGCTCAAACTAGTGATTCCAGAGTATACACTCACCATCGAAAAGTGGAACCACTAGCAGTTGCAATTTTGTTCCCACTGCCAATCACACGATGTTTCCAAAATTGCAAGCTTCCAATAGTTAGAAGAGTTAATACCACGAAAAACTCTAAACTAGTACACCCGTAATAAATTTACCTCGAACTATTTTTTTGACCTCCAAAAACACCACACTGGTACACTTGTGATAATTTTACCCCAAACTAAATTTTTGACCACTAAAAACCCTAAACTCGATATACTGTGACAATTTTACCAAAAATTAATTTTTTAACCACTAAAAATCCAAAACTTGTACATTTGTGACAAATTTCCCCTCCCTCCGTTATTGTCCGTTAAATTGGATTAAACCGAATTACGAAAAATCACAAATTGGTAAACTTATGACAAATAGAGGGGTAAAACCCCGGGATCGGTACACCCGTTAACTACTACGTGTCATCAAACTTAACAATTTGATAGTAAAATTTAACGAAAACTAATTGAGGGTAAATTTGTTACGTATGTACCATTTTAGGCTTTTTAATTATCAAAAAATTAGTTTGGGGTAAAATTATCACAGTGTACTATTTGGACATTAATCATTTTAGTGGTCAAAAAATTAGTTCGGGATAAATTGTTATAGATGTACCAATTTAAAATTTTTTGTGATCAAAAAATAATTTTTAGTAAATTTATAACATCAATTTTGAGTTTTTTATGGTATTATTCCTAGTTAGAACTAACGCTCAACGAAGACTTTTCTTTTTCTATTTCTTCTTCTCTTTTGGATCACGATGAAGTGACATGTCGTATAGAAAAGAGCACCATTCAACGCCCTTGGTCATTATCTTTTAGGCCGACCAAAAGAATGCACGGGGGGTTTCACTTCATAACCCCACCTCCATAGTATTTTATTATTTCTCTGCTCCAATCAAAATGATATTCTATCAACTACTTTCTTATGACATTGGATTAGTAATACGAAAAATCTATACCAATGATAAATTTATCCCGAATTAATTTTTAGACCACGAAAAATCTTACATTTGTGACAATTTTACCTCGAGCTAATTTTTGACGACCAAAAATCCCAAACTAGTACACCTGTGACAATTTTACCAAAAACTAATTTTTTAACTACTAAAAACCCAAAATTTGTACATTTATGGTAAATTTTCCCTCCGATTAGTGTCCGTTAAATTGGATTACTATCACGAAAAATCACAAACTGGTAAATTTGTGATAAACAGAGAGATAAAAACCCCAAACTAATATACCCGTTAACTATTACGTGTTATCAAACTTAGCAATTTGACAAGAAATTTAAAAAATTAATTTAGGGTAAATTTATCACAGATATACCGGTTTGGGATTTGTCGTGATCAAAAAATTTGTTCAGGGTAAATTTATCACAGATGTACGAATTTGAAATTTTCGTGGTATTAACCCTAAATAATTTGATCAAACCTACCAATTAAGAAACCCCCCTGGGCAGTTTTCTGATTTCCTCATGATAAACGAGTCAACGAGTCAAGGGCATAGCGGACGCACTCGATCTCTCTCACCAACCCTCATTATCATCTTCTCCTAACAAAACTGAAGGGGAGAAACTCAGGAGAACGACATGATTACTCGAGGAACGGTGTCTTGTCGGTTGCTTGGTTTTTAATTAACACGTGATTTCGATTCTGTTTTTAACCGGAGGCTGCTTATTTTTATTAGTTCTCGTTCATAAATGATTTCTATCAACTGACTTTCTTGACATTAGCCGCACTTGGGTGCGCCGACCTTAGTAATCGAGCATCTTATGTTTACATTTGGTATGAACATGAGTACATTAGAATAGGCTGAGAGGTATCGAACGAGACATGAGACCTTACCTTACATTTGCTAGAATGAATGGGCAAGGGGCGACCGGCACAAGTATCCCTTTGAGAGTTACGATATGAGTTGCTCGATCGAGGGAAAAATCCTTGCTAGGGAAGGCACAACGCCGGTGGAAATTAACAGTGTGAAAGCCATAACTCCGGCCTATCCGATCAGCCTTTGCTTCGAGTAATTTACTAAATCTAGTTGCGCAGTGGGATCAAAACCTTTACCTTGAGTAATCTTTTAAGCTTCTAATGCTATTACAAAATCTAGTTGGATTTTTCTTGAACTTCAAAACTAGGAATAATTTGATCAAACCTACCAATTTATAAACCCCTGGGCATTTTCTGCCAAATTTTTTGGATTACTTCAAGTGTCACTTTAAAAAAACGATCACTTGAGTGCCAACTCTCGATTATTTGGGTCGCGAAAATCTAACATTGCCATATTTTATTAACTCAGGAGAACGACATGATTACTCGAGGAACGGTGTCTTGTCGGTTGACAATATTTAATAATTTTTTGATGTTTTTCGATTTTTTTTTTTCCTTCTTCTTTTTTCTTTCTGTTTCTACCTTTGGCCGGTGACCGAACAGCCGCCACTTGCCATGGCCGGCCTCGCCCGAACGAGGCCACTTTTGTTTACATTTTATGAACATGAGTACATTAGAATAGGCTGAGAGAGAATCGAACGAGACATGAGACCTTGCCTTAGATTTGCTAGAATGAATGGGCGAGGGCGACCGGCATAATTGTCCCTTCAAGAGTTACGATACGAGTCACTCAATTGAGGGAAAAATCCTCGATAGGAAGGCGAGGCCGGCCTCGCCGAATACGGCGTGGGAAGCCCTCCCGGGCTCGCCTGCTCTTGCCTAGGCGAGGGTCGGCCGGCCTCGCTTGTGGTGGGCGACGACTTACTATCTAGTTGCGCGGTGAGGGCAAAGGGCCGGCCATGGCCGATGGCCGGTCATGGACCAAAGGTAGAAGAAGAAGAAAGAAAAGAAAAAAAGAAAAGAAGGAAAAATAAAAATATATATATTTTAAAAATCAAAATATATACATGGAAATGTCACATAGACTAATTTTTTAAAAAAATCCTACTCATATTAAAATTTTAATTATAAAAGTCACGTATTAATTTGGCTGGAATTTCTTACCGTTGACACTTAGGTGATCGTTTTTCTTCGAGTAATTTACTAAATCTAGTTGCGCGGTGGGATCGAAAACCTTTACCTTGAGTAATCTTTTAAGCTTCTAATGCTATTACAAAATCTAGTTGAATTTTTCTTGAACTTCGAAACTAAAGTCGTTGACTTAAGAATAAAAAGGATAAACGAATTGCTTCTTGCCATAACAATCATCCGTTATAAGACTCTTCTTCACTAGTGCCTTTATATGTACACCTTAATATCGAGAATTCTTTAAACTGTTTTCTTCTGAAAAGGTTGGATATTTTGGGACGGGGAAATTACTAAAAAAGTTTTAAACCCGGTGCATTTGTGCCAATTCAGTTCTAAACTTTTAAATTTGATCAATTTAGTCATAATTTTTTTTTGTCAATTTAGTCCTAAACCGTTCCAAAGTTTGCAATTCTCATGTTTATTACGTTTCGTTTATTGCCCAAAGGGTTCTCATTTCCACGCTTCATCTCCCCAAAGCTTCAAGCGTATTGGAAAACAGGGTTCTTGACGGTAACAATTCGTTTTTACTTTGGATTTGACACAGTGAAGCTTATGCTTTTCATTCCACAAAGAAAATCAAGCCATGGGTAAAAAAGCATTGCCGTATTATCATTCTTACTCTCTCCTAATTAATGTTAAGACAACACTGGCCTATAGTTGGACGCAGCCCCATCAGGGCGTCAAAACAACATTGTCGAGACACATATATCTGAACAAACCCCACCCGAGCAATACCGAGATATTGTCCGCTTGGGTCGTGGGTCATCCGCACCCGCACGACTTTAAAACGCGCCGTGCTAAGTTGAGCCAATGCGAGACTCATCCGCCCATCAAACAGCCCATGTCTATGCGACGTCGGACTCGGAGACAGCATCCGAAACTCAGCAATCCCTCAGTCCCACGACCGGTTCGATTATCTTAAATCACAATGCCTGTCGAGAGAGAGACCCACGGAATCTCTACATTTCCACATGCAGCCCCGAGAGGGCAATCTCCGAATTCGGACGCATCCACGGTTTTCGACTTTTGGAACGGATCGAACAAAGGGAAGAGGAAGAGGGGACGAGTCGGGGCGGCCTCGAAAAGAAGGAAAGAACGAAGAAAGTGGATGGATTGAAGGGACGACGAACGGATGATAAGAAGAAAAGCAAAGCCGAGTCATCCTCTTTCGTAGCCTTGTCAATAATAACTTTGTAACTATATAACTACCATGGTACGAGAAACTGGTTTTGCGTGTTGACTTTCTTGGCTCACGGGACCGCTCGCTTATTATACGGGAGACGGAGGCTCTGACTTTTTCTTCTTCTTCGTTTTTTTTTTTATTTTTATAATTTCGAGGGTTAGGTGGAGCTTGGGTTGTGTGGCCCCCCACTGATGACTCCACGTCGACTTGGTCAAAGTCTTGCGAAGCGATATAGCTTCTCGATCACCCTCCCTCGACCCTAACCAACCACGCGCTTCCTACAGTTCAAGTCTCGAGGTGGACATGGTCAAGTTTACAATGGAATCTTGGAATAGCAGTATGTTTTGATGTTAAAGATCGTAGATGATTGTCTCGTTTATTAGTGGGGTGTCGAGACAGGTTGGGAGAGAAAACTTTGAGTGAAATCGGCCTTTTAAAATATCTCGAGCTTCAAAATACCTGTCGATTTACGTATAAATACCTATCATTCATAAGGAAGTAATGTTCCTCGCAGACCGCGTCGCTCTAGCGTTACTGAATCCGACGACAATTCACGCCGGGTTTGGTCATCTTGAACCGGATCGTCAATGCTTCGCTACCAAGCGGCACGTAAATTGGATACCCCACTTTTGTTGGGTTGTATCGATTGCGATTTAATATCCCACAGGCCACATGGTGACCTTAATTAAAGGCAACGAAACGAAGTAATAAGGTGGAGTCGAGCTATGTGAACGGCAAGTCCTCGTAAGATCTTTAATGGTCACATAAGGTATAACGAAACGTGCATTTCGTGCTTTATGACGACTGCCCACCCAAGTGATTTCTAGTGTTCCAAGTCATACTCAGAGGACATAGTCTCTCGAGGTATTCCCGGATTCGACGTGAGAGTCCGCATTAGAATTTAGAGGATCATGCTAAAGAATTGCGTGTGAAAACTCAAGATTATAGATGGAGAGAGACTATGCGTGTATATATAAGGCATGTCAACTGAGACCGCACACAAATTGGGGCGGAACCCAACTCCGACACCATGTCAAAAAATTGAGCCCAAAAGTTCAATTCTATATATGAAAGGAGATCACGTACATATAAAGAGTATTTGAATCTCGAATATAGACGATGAAAGTTTCCATACTAATAAATCTGTGATAGGGGAGAAAAGGGAAGAAAGAAAAAGAATAGGAAAGAGTATGCAGTGAATTTTACAGACTAAACCCTAATTTTTTTTTATTTTTTTTGGTCGGTGACTAAACCGAATTAGCAGTAGCAATTCTAGAAGTCAATGTCGCATTATGTGAACAAAGTCCTCCTTATCATGGGACGAGAAGAAAAGCAGTGGGAAAAGCCGAAGCCTTAATTGTACGTAAAGCAGCCATCAGCCAATAGGCCATCCCGCGACGTCGACACATGGATGACGAGACCGTACGGGGGGCGAGGCGAGCCAGCCAATAAGAACCGGCCACGTGGCCCCTATCCGGGTGGGAATCGAGTCCCCCTTAGAAAAGTCTTCCCCCCCCCCCTTGGCTTTCGCTCGCGGTGGGCTTTCGAGAGCGTCGGGGCGAGGATCAGACGAAGAGCCCCCCCCCCCAACCCATTTTTTTTATTTTTCTCCCTCTTTAATTAATCCGCTTCTTTTTTTTATTTCTCTCTTAATTAATATTAAATACTTCTTCTTCTTTTTTAATTTGTTAAAATGCTGTGGCAAGTGGCACGTCCCTTTCGCTAGACCTTTCTTGTCCTCCTCGACAAATCCCCAAATTACACGCGCGCACGTAAACAAGAAAGGGTAGGGGCACCCATCACTTCTCTTGGTACCATGGTGCCGGAAATTCCAAAAGCGACCGTAGCTCGAGAACGAGAACGAGAACGAAACGCGGGATAACTCCAAACCCGGTCGCAACATCAGAAATCCCACTCATTCCGTCCAAAACAAAAAAGCAAAAACAAAACAGTGCCGTTTCGATTCCCCAGATTCAAGACAAAAAGAAAAAAGAGAGACAAGAAAATTCAACACGTATTTACAGTTTTTTTTTTTTTGGGGGGGGCAGGGGAGGCAGGGAGGGGTTTATACATATAATTTTTCTTTTCTTTTCTTTTTTTTTTGGGGGTTGGGGGAGGATTAGATACAGTGAGCATGTGGCGGTTGGTGGGGGTGCGCCCTCAGACTGACACCTCTGATGTTCTGGCAGCGGCGTCGCCGGATCTCGGTTGCCGTAGAAGCTGTATCAGTGTCTCCGCCTGTCCACATTCCCGCGACCAATCAGAACACCAATTATATAGCCTTTAATAATTTACCGAAATTTAATCTGCAGAAAGACCATATAAAAATCGTTTCATGAAGCAGCAGAACATGATCTACCGATCTCTCCCCACAAAGAAAAGGAAAAAGAACAGAGAAAAAACACAAGAACGGAGGAGCGAAAGGTCGTGGGATGGAAACGAATATACTTGCACCCCACGAACTGGCTTCCAGCCGAAACGACTGTTTTGGCCCCTCAGACATCCTCTGTCCTGCTGCCCCGTCCGTAATAATTATCTCTTGCCCCGATTTCCCCATCGAATCTTTTAGTGGCTTGCGTTATCGGAGTCCTCCATCACGTCTGAGTACGCTAAGGACAACGAGGATGGAGGACGTAAAAACTGGATTTTTTTTTTCTAATTTCCAGAAAAGAAAATGATAGCACGAAACCGACGCCGACGCCGCCGCCGACGGTCGGCGACGCTCCTCCCGCTCCCTCCTCCGGCGAGCAACGAACATTCGTGGCCGGACGGTGTCGGAGTGAAATTTTCCAAGAAAAAAAAAAAGAAAAAATGGGAAATAAACGAAAATTACCAAAAAAGATAAAAGAAAAGGTCAGATTTCCACGCGACGACTGACGTGGCAAAACTCTCGGTAGTTCTCTCTCTCTCAAGAAAAAAAGAAAAAACAAAACAATTCTTATTTTCTTCAAAACATGCCCGACGCCACGTCACTCGCCGGGGGGCGGACCCGTCCCGAGCCGACCCGAGCCGTGGCCGGAGCCTCACCGACCCAAGGCGGCGCGCAGACAGAGTCAAATTGGGCGCCTTACCTTTTGCTTTCCGCGATTGGTGCCGGACTGCGACAGGGCCACGAGCGGCGGGATCGCCCCTTCCCGAGCCACCATCGCCCGGTACGCGGCGCTGTCCTCGCAGAGCTGCAGCAGCACCACCACCGCGATCTCCTTCTGCCGCTGCGTCCCCACCTCCACCATCTCCACGAGGACCGGTATCCCCCCCTCGTCCACCAGCGCCGCCCTCGCCTCCGCCGCCCCCACCAGCGCGCTCACCACGAACGCCGCCTTGTCCACCATGCTCGACCCCAGGTCCGCCATCAGCTCCACCAGCGGCCGCATCGCCCCGGCCTGCACCGCCCTGACCTTGTTCTCCTTGGCGGAGCAGAGCGAGTAGAGCGCCGTCGACGCGTCCTTCTTCCCCCGCGAACCCCCGGTCTCCAGGAGGCTCACCAGCAGCGGGATCGCCCCCGACCGCCCGATCGCCGCCTTGTTCTCCTCGATCTGCGAGAGGCGGAGCAGCGCGCAAGCCGCGTTCTCCTTCGCCGTCGGCGTCCCCGTCCTCAGGGCCCTCACCAGCGGCTTTATGGCCCCCGAAGCCGCGATCAGCTCCTTGTTCTCGTCGCAGAGCGAGAGGTTGAGAATCGCCGTGACGCCGTACTCTTGCACCTGAGCAGACCACCGAGTATTTTATGCAACAGTCAATTACAGTCGTACACAACAGTTACCAAATTCGACAAGATTTCAAAAATCATGCTTCGCCGCCGTCAGCGACAGCGAATAGCCGATCCACAGAATACTTTCTCGCGGTCACCTGAGGATCGGAGGAGGAGATGAGAGCGACCAGAGGCTTGATCGCGCCGGCCTGGGCGATGCGGACGCGGTTCTCGGGCTTGTTCTTGGCGAGGAGCCTGATCTCGAGGGCCGCCTGCTTCTGCTCGTCGAGGCAGCACGAGTCGAGGTCGCGGACGAGCTGGCGGATGAGGTCGTCGGAGTCGTCGGAGGCGCAGGCCATGAGGAGGCGGCGGCGGTTGTCCTGGGAGGAGGCGGTGGGGAACTCGCCGGATCTGTCGCTGCCGCAGTCGCTGAAGGCGGAGGTGGAGGAGGTGGAGGTGGTGGAGGTGGAGGAGTCGTCGAGGGCGGCGGCGGCGAAGTTCCGCCCGACGTAGGCGAAGGTCACCGGAACCTCGGCCTCCATGGCGGCGGGCCCCGGCGGCGCTCCAGGCGCATCAATCGATCGGGGGAGCCGGGTCGGAGTTGACGGGCCCGGGTCGACGGTGCGCTCGGGTCGTTTCGAAGCGACGGATTTTGGGGTCTTGGATATGATGATATGGAGGGGGGTTTCATTAGAGAGAGGGAGGGTAGCTTTAAACACCTGGAAGAGGACGTGGTCCGACACGTGCGCAGGTCGGAGATGGACCAGTACCGATTCCCCCCCGGGACCGAGCGCGCACGTGCGAGAGCCCTCTTCAAACGCGTGCGGGGAAGGTTTCTCCGTTCGATCGATGGAGCTCCAGCTCTTCTTTTGGGAAGAGTCCGAAGGCGGCCCCTTTTTTCTTCGTTCATCGCCGCCCGTTCCAACTTCCAACAGCAGTCCAAAAAAAATATATATGTGCACGAATTTTGATACGTACTGTTAAGTTGGTCCGTGCGACCTGATGTGACGAGTACAGTCGAAATCGTCGATTTGAAACGTTAATTTTTGGATTGGATGAAACAAAACTCGATTCCGGGAACCATCGCTCGTTCGATTTGGAATGCTTTGTTTCTTCTCTGCTTCGATATATATTCTTGAATCAGAAGACTGAAAAACAAACCGCATCGCTTCACCTAGCCAACATTTCGATTGTACGCATCTGTGCTGTCGGTCATGTCGAGTGCCACGGTAGCTTGCGTGGAGGAAAAGCCTGACGGTATGTAATTTCGCCGATGATGACGTAAAAGCGTGCGCATTTTTCTTTGAATCGTTTAAGAAGTGGGGGATCTTTTTGCCATGCATCTTTTTTGGGGGTTTGACCTTTCTACTAACTGATGTTTTGGAGAAGGGGGGACCCTTGACGTTACGAGCGCACATAGGAGTGCTCTTAAATCTAGATCGAGAGAGAGAGACAGAAAATATCTTCATCCGAGATGGCGTAATGGCATGTGTTTTTAAAATTTCGAATATTTTCCCATTGGTCATATGTTTAACAAAGCGGTACGGGAACGCCTTGGGATAATATCTTCATTCGAGATGGCGTAATGGCATGTCCCGTGGGCCGTGGCCGCGAGCGATGATTAACAAGGGATCTATTATGCTAAATTAATCAGGCCGATTTAACTAAATCTTTCGACAGATCGTAGCCGACAAACAGGGGGCAGTCGGGGCGCGGGAGGGTACAGCGTGGGATTAGTTGTTGTCGCGCCACGTGGACGGTTGGGGGGGGGGGGGGTGGGGGAGGAGGGGGCTTTGTTCATCGGAGCGGGTCGCGCTTGCACATGGGGGTGCTCTTTGATTGATCGCAGTCCTTTCTCTTTCGTACCCTCCTTCCTTCCCCCGTTGAGCCGTCCGTTACATACTGAAAGGCGGATTATGAACGCGACGACGATGACATTATTGTTGGCTCTAGTCATCCGTCGGATCGACGATCGAGATTGATTGAGACACTGACAAGAGGATCATAGGAAAAGAGGATCTTCACGGTCCCCGAAGTTCCCCGCCCCCGTCCCAAAAGAACCCTTGCTCTAATGCTCTTGTAGAGATCGAGAAGACCCTCGACCCTTTTATGTACACTACAATGGGTTTCTCTTCCAATGTGATTAAAGGATAATCAACAGAGTATCGGCAGGGTTAAGCTCACACTCGTTACGTAAGAACGGATATACCAAGCAAAATAATCGGCAACCGATCACTAGATCTTGTATTATTGTTAGTAATGAGTACACATTGGAAATTCCTTTTCCAATAGCCACAGTGTCGGTTCGGCTTCCTCTACACCATCATTGTACGGAGACAACCAAAGCATGTTAAGTAAACATAGATCTAACTTTTAGAAGAACAAGTCTTCGTAATTCAACGAGACGACGGAGCTCTTGCGATCACCATTGAAACTGGAGGCAGAGGACATGTACATAGATAGAGCATGGGCGTAACGAATCCCATAAAGCATTATTAAACTCCCAAATCTAAATTGGGAGAGAATAGCTCCTAGATCTAGAACTGACAAACTCTCCGATTTAGAACTAAAACGGGAGAAAGAGCTCTTAAATCTATATCGGGAGAGAAAAAAAAATAATAAGAAAGGAACAAGAAAAACTCAAACCAAAATCAACACGCAATTTGAGTTCGAGAGCTTCTCAAATATATAAGACCATCTCATCCTCAAATCAAATCTTAATTTCAGTTGATCTACCCGTCCTAAATCGGATCAAATCGGATGCTCTCGATGCATATGTGTGCCCAACTCGCATATTCCGTGAGATCACGTGCATCTCACACCCATAACTTTTTTCCTTAATCGAGAGGCTATACACACCGTCGGCCCCCCACTTAATTTTGCGGATCACGAAATTAAGCCTAGAGCAACATTTGGGAACCAACAAATAAATGAATCAACGGCGACCTAAGATTTCACGCGCATGGTCTTAGAGAGAGCAACATGATGCAGCAAAATTCAAAGATCTTTGCGCTCTATCCGACTCCCCACTCGCCTGTGGGATTCAGCAAAAAACATGTACTTCTGTTTGTGCCTGGGATATCGCCTGCTCCATGCGTACTCCTATTTTGGAATCTCAATCATTCAAAGCATCGATCCGTGGAAAACAAGTTTAGCTTTTGGAAATTTATCTCGCTCAATGCATTAAAGATCGAGATTCACCGAGAGATCAAAAGTGAGGTGTCCAGCTGAGCACTTGTGATTTAACTAGGGGGCCATGGCGGTGGGTTGCTGTGCTAATCTCTCCCGAGGAATAGTGCAAGCTGGCCCGGACACTTCGATTACAAAACAAAAAAAAGTGAGGTGTCGAGCGTCTCCATCATCTATCTCAAATAAGAAGAGAGACTGAGAGAGAACGTGTATCAAGGGGCGGCTAGGACAATCAAAATCGGTGTTAAACTCTGGAATATGCGAGCCAAAAAGTCTTTTTCTTTCCACTTCTTTTCTCTCTCTATCGTCTTCCTAGACCTTCAGCCGTGGAGAAAGGGGTTTGAGCTGATCTGACCCTCCCTTCTCTCTCTTGTTGGTCTTGTTTGTATATTATCATTCTTTTCCTTGTTTTTTCTTTCTCTCTTGATTTAGATGTAGAAGCTCTCTTCTCCTAATATAGTTCTGAATCTGAGAGCTTGAACTCTCCCGACCTAATTTTATACGTGGGAGCTACTCTTTTTTCGATCTAGATCTAGGAGTTTAATAAATATGCTTCTGGGGATTTGACAGCCTTGCTTTGTCCGCAAATAGGCCTTCAACTTCAATGGCGATCACAAGAGATATGACGTCTCGTTGAACCATGAAGATTTGCTCTTCCAAATGTCAGATCTATAATTGTGTGGTGTTGATTATAATTGTGTTGCCATGTCGCGTCGTGTTTCATGCATTTTTCGAAGATATTTTCCGATAAAGTAGCACCTTAAAACTTGGGTAGAGTACCATATTAAAAGTAGTTGCAAAGTGTTACTCGTACAGTGAAATGTTAATTAAAAATATTACAAAAACTACAACACTGTCTACTATACACACAATATAATAATACAATGGAAGTTTTATTTTATTTTTATTTTATTTGATCTCCTTGTTCTAGCTTTCGAGTTTTTATCATTTTGTTTGAGAATTCTGGGGCATGAGCGCAGAGACTTGGCTAGACGCTCATGGAATACCTTACATGCCCCATGAACTGTATTTTAATCTTCGATCTATCCAAGCGGCCGCCAACCAAAGAGCAGCTTGCACAACGTGGCACACGATTTCATCCTTTAATTTTAACAACCTTAAACATAAAAATATTTAATTAATGTGCTTTCACTCAAATGGGAATTAATTTACAAATAAAGCAAATGCAAAATGGTCAGCAAACCCCAAACAGGTGAAACCGCATGGAGGTTTTTTTCACACATCAAATGTTATAGATATCTCCAACAGATTCAAAACATGCGTGATGTGGTGGACTCACTAAGCGTTGCAATTCCACACTGGTTGTAGTCCATATCACATCACAAGGATCCTCATTGAATGTTAAGAGACGTTCGAACCTTCGCTTCTAGTGATTCTGATAGGCACGCGCAAATTGCCCCGTCCAGGTGCTTTTAATGTAACGGTGTTAGCTTATGGCCCTAGTATATAAAGATTGTGCGCGTGGACTGAACACGCTCGTGGCAAGTGCGCCGGCCCCACCACCAAGCGGCGATCGAGTCGTTCGAGCTTATCGGATTTCGCCTCTATAATTAAGTTACTTTCTACAATGGATCCGATTAGCACACAAGTCATGTCCCGTGGAGAGACGTACATTAGATGTTGCACATACTATCCGGTTTTGTACGTATTTCATGAATAAAACATGAAATTCACAGTATCTCAATCTCTCGCTGAAGTTCAACAATTGCCCCAAAAACACAAAGTCAAGTATGCTATGCAGCTTAAATCGAAGTTCAACAACTTATTTCATATCTATGTGTACTTATATACATAAAAATCTCTTGAGCGTCTTCATCAATGTTTTACAAAATTAAAATATATATTCTTAACAAAGACCCAGAAAGTAGTAGGGTTCTTATTTGACACTAAAGTCGAATCAAGCGGCCTTTTGAGATATTTAGGAACTTTCCGTTCCCACTAATTTTCCGATAATATTTGAATTAGCATCGTTTAAGAATAGTGGCTTGAAATTGTTAGAGCTTAGAAGTCTCGCCCGACACGACCGAGGGCGTGGTGGGGTCGAGCGACTTCTGGTGCGCCAAAGATACCTTCGTTTTGATGTTCCATCATTGACTCGGTCGATAATTCATTAAAAAAGGAGGAGGAGAAGAAGCTGTCTTTTCATACAGGGCAATCAATTCGAACCGTCAGCAAAAAGATTTTCAAAAAAACACGAGAGAGGCTTTTGCATGAATTTTCAACCCACGCCCAAGTTCAAATTTCAAATTTTCGTGATTGACGGTCATTGGGCAAATAGAGAAGGAAGGGAAAGGAGGGTGGAAAGAAATCTCAGTAAAATTAGTCAAGATAACTAAATTGAACCGTACAAATGGACTTATTATGGAGGAGAAACTGGCGGCTTAAACCGTTGCTATCATTTCAATTTGCGACATAATTCGTCAATCGATTGCCGTCATTTTCTGTTGACAAAAATGGACCCTAAACTTTAAATGGATGTGTAATGTAATTTCTGAACTTTAAATTTATTTAATATGATTCCTGAACTTTAGTTCAATTTGCAATGTAATTCTGAACTTTTAACTTGTTCGATATTGATGTTTGATATAGTCCCTAGATTATATGAAGATGTTTAATATTGACTTTTCATTAATTCGAGATCATGGATAATATTGAACGTTTTCATTTAGTTAAGGACTAAATTGAACATGTACTGAAATTTCATGGAGCATATTACGCATAGGGCTAAAAATCAAGGATCATATTGAACAAATTAAAAGTTTATGGATTATATTGTATATTAGACCAAAGTTTATGAACTATTTATGTCATTTTCTTTTGATAACTCGTAAAAAGCTGTCTTTTCATACCAAACATTAATTCTAACTGACCGTAAAAAAATTCAAAACAAAAAGAGAGTCTTTTGCACGAATTTTCAACCCAAACCCAAGTTCAATTTCAAATTTCGTGATCGACGGTCATTGGGCAAATACAAAAGGGAGAGAAAGAAGGGTGGAAAGAAATCTCACTGAAATTAGTCAAGATAACTACTTGAGCCGTACAAATGGACTTATTGTGGAGGAGAAACTAGCGGATTAAATCGTTGTTATCATTTCTATTTACGACATAATTCGCCAATCGTTCACCTTCATTTTTCTGTTATAAGAAGGGATTATAATATAAATAATTCATAAATTTTGGTTCAATGTGCAATATGATATCTTAACTTTAAATTTATTCAATGCAATCCCCAAACTTTAGTCCAATATGTAATATCGTCTCTGAACTTTTAATTTGTTCAATATGGTCCCTAAACTTTTAATACATGTTCGATGTAATTTCTAGATTATATGAAAATATTCAATGTTGTCCTTCCATTAATTCAAAATCAGGGACAACGTTGAACAATTTCATATAACCCAGGGACTATATTTTAGGCTAAAGTTCAAAAATCACATTGAACAGATTAGAAATTTATAAATCATATTGCATGTTAGCCAAAGTTTAGAGATTATTTGTATCATTTTCTCTTGATAATTCAAAAAAAGCTGTCCTTTTTATACTAAACATCAATTCTAACTATTAGTAAAAAAAATTCAAAAAACAAAGAGAGAGACTTTTGCATCAATTTTCAACCCACACCCAAGTTCAATTTCTAATTTCGTGATTGACGGTCATCGGGCAAATACAAAAGGACGAGGAAGAAGAGTGGAAAGAAATCTCAGTAAATCTAGTCAAGATAAACTACTGGAGCCGTACAAATGGACTTTATTGTGGAAGAGAAACTAGCGGGTTGAACCGTTGCTATCATTTCTATTCGCGACATAATCCGTCAATCGGTCCACCTCCGTTGTCTGTTACAGGAACAGATATTTTTCTCCCCTAGCATCAGAACAAGGATGCTGTCGCTTTGGCAAATATGGTTAGGACCATAAACATCAGGGCTCATGAGCCGATCAAGAGCCATCTGAACAAAGAAAACAGTCTCAGCAAACACCAGCTCTAACCACTGTTTGGAATAGGGGCGTTAAAGGGCTTGGTTCGATTTCGGGTCCCCCACTGCCACAATCCGACCCGAACATGAAGGCATAGAACCCGAATCAAAAAACGATTTGAGTCTGGCTATCGGGTTTCCTTTTCTTTGTTTGCGAATGTGGCTAGTAATCATTTTGGTTTAGAAATAGGTTCAATAATGTGTTTCGGGTCGGTTTTGGTTTATAACCTGAAACCGAACCGAATCGCCGAACACCCGCTGTTTTACTTACTACCAGAACAAAAAAGGAAAACCAAACTAGAAAGATCCGATTTTGTTCTAGTTGGTTCAGTTAGGTCCGAGTTTCAGTTCGGGGCAGTTCTGTTTTTCGCCCCTAGTTAGTATGCTAAAGATTTTTGCACCTTTACTTGGTAATATAAGCGAAGCATAAACTTTGGGGAAAATGAAGTTTTCTCCATTCTTGGCAATTGGTAGAGATTAGAGGCGTGTCAGTAAAACAGGAGGAAGAAAGCACTTTCATTCTCCTGATATGAAAGGGTTCAGGGAGAAAGCAACCGCGCAAGAATAACAACAGCGAACTGCGCAGGCAAATCAAGATAATCAAACGTATCCAGAATATTGCCCGAACGGTGCGGGGAACCATCCATTATGAATCCTAGTACACAGAATAAAATTCTGGTTCTGTCTTTTGTAAAGCCCACACATTCTAGCCAGGAATTCTCTCTGCGCATGTTGGTATTAGGACCCAGCATTCCAGGCCATAAATACTAGCTTGCGGTGCAAGGCCAGAATCCATATCAATGCATCTCCAACGGATCGTCGTTTGCATAGCGAACGCCAAAATATTGAATACTCGAGACAATATGCGAGTGAATCCTAAAGCCAGCGAAACAACAGAGGCGCAGCAAAAGGCCACAAGTCCAACCTCACGCAAGATGCGCAGACTAGAGACCTTCCCGCGCATTCCTGGCAACAAGCTTGCGCTGTGTTGTATCCAGGGCTCGGATCGTTGGACGGTGTCGAGACGGAGCAACTCTGTCCGAGCAGTTTCCAGCGGTAATTTCTCGAAACACCCGGAGGGAAAAAAACCATTTTGCACTGTCGTTTCTTCTATTTTCTCTTGTACCAAGAGCATCCCTAATAATAGGAGAAATTACAGCTTACGCTGAGGTGGTTTGGTTTGCTAGATTCCACACAACAAACTCATGCAGAACCCTCGCACATAATCGACTCTTTATTTCAGCTTAAAAAATCTATTCTTTTCCCTTTTCCTGTAAGCAGAAATTGTAATAGTTAAGGATGGACACATGAGTGACTCATCTCTCTGACAAACAAATTCAGAAGTAACCGTAACCTATGATTATAAAGTAGAAGCAGACCGAGTACTCCTATGTCAAATGATTTCAAATATTTACCCCACAGTTTCAAGCTCAACCTTCAAAGACTCGGACAAAATGGCCTCAAAAGATTGCATAAGCTAATTCGGTAGGTTTTCATTTAACTAAAAACGAATTACAGTGGATGAAAGTAGGGCGGTCAAAATGGGTCATAAACTCGTATTTTAACTCATATTTATGAAAATTGATCATATATGAGTCGCCTTAAAATTAAGATATAGACCATAAATGGGATTTAAAAAAAAAAACCCAAACTAAATGGGTTTTATTGAGTTTTTTACAAACCCATTTCCAACTCATTTATCACCCTTGCTTTCAAACCATATATCATCGACTCTTCGCTTCGTCTCCTCTCTCTCCTCTGCTTCATCCCCATCTTCCTCGCCATCTCTCTCTTCTAACGGACCTCCCCGATCTCCGCCCGCTCTTACCAAACCCTCGAAGTGAAGCGAAAGCCCTGGCTCGACTTTGCCGCCTTCAGTCGACCCTGCGGTTACTTCCTCGGGTCTTGGATCTGCGGTTCGAGCTAAGGTACGTCGGCTCTTGCAAGGAGATATTCAAGGGACGAAAATGCATTTTCAGTGGCAGGCCCAATGCTCGCAACCTAATGAAGTGGTGGTGGAACCCTGAGGCTTGCGATTTGCTTGCTTTTTTTTGCTTGAGCGGCGGGAGAAGAAGAAAAATTAAAGGAAGAATCTAATCTTAATAAATTATATCTGACAAGCCTCCATAATAAAGATAAGGAATTCCCAACTCCCACTTTCAGGGATCGCTAGGGACATGTCGTTGTCAGTAGCCATAAATAATGACGGTCGTGCTATTAAGTATTCTAGACCGGCTTGTTAAGCATATTTAACAGAAAAAATAAAAAAGAAAGTTTGATCATACCGGCGTGAAACGATAACTCGAATCGATCAACCAATCAAAAAGTATTCATGAACAGAGTAACGTTCGAGAAGTTTGACAAATAGCAATCATATTTATTAAGACGAGCGATGGAGTAAAAACGGCATCCTAAGAGACCCAATTAGATGAGGGGCGATCGAATTGACGAGTCGCAACTTTGAACAAGCGGAGATTCTAGATGCCGCCGGACTTGGACGGAAAAAAACACAAGAGTCGGGACAAGTCAGTCGTAGGGACGCTCGAGTCAAGACTGCCGCTCTGAAAATTTTGGACAGTTCAGTCGTGGCCAAGTCGAGGTGGGTGTGTGCTCCATCGAGCCTCGTCCCACTACAATTCTCTCTTGAATCTGCCCCAAAATGACAACCAAACAGGGCGAAAACGTGACTGAACTGACAAGCGTTTGACCCCGAGCTGCCTCGAGTCGAGACGGCAGCGTCGATTCTACCACGATTGCCGTGCCTTGAAAGCACTTGGAAATTTTTCAATGAATGGTCTGCAGCACGAAATGAATTGAGATTTCATAGAACAGGGCATTGTGATTCTGATATGTGCAATACTCATGCAAAGACTGCGACTTTAATTTATATCAACAGATGCAACACCAGGCTAATTGTAACGTGAATCAAGAGTTATAGATAGAACACGTCAAGCCTCAAGCCATGGCTGATATCTCTGGAAGAAAGGAGTACCACTTAAAGCCACAGCTCCATTTCTCAGGGAGCGAAGGGCACTTGGGCAACCAGTGCCATGTCCGCCTGGAAGCCCTGTAGTACAGAATCTCCGGCCATGTGTAGCAGCAGATGCACACCATCCCTTGGTGCCAGAAGCAGTAGACGTGCTCGTAGTTGTGGTAGCACACCGACATGAACTTCCGGCACACCAGCTCCGGCAAGCTCTCCACCTCCTCCCACCTCCCCCCTCCTCTGCACAGCGCCCACAGCTTCATGCCCCTCGATATCCCGTTCGCCCCGATCCCCCCCACCAGGTACAGCCTCTCACCGCCATCACTCACCAGCCTCGCGAAGGTGAGCTCGTCGGGTGGCGGCAGCAGCTCGGACCCGCGGTGCTCCGTCGTCCCGGCCTCCGGGTTGAAGCAGATGATTGAGAACGGCTCCGATGTCGCGAAGTACAGGTGCCCGTCGAAGTACACGCCTTCCTGGTGGTGGGTGTAGCCCAGGATCCGGTCAAACCCGTTGACCTTTTGCCACGAGTGAAATCTGGAGTCATACAGGAAAGCTTCAAACCGGGAGGACCCGCAGGCGAGGATGAAGATCTTGTAGCCAAGCTTCGGGGTTGAGACAAAAGTGAGGAGCTCGAAGACGAAGGGGAAGGATGGGAACTTGATCTCTCTCCAGGACTTGGTCAGGAGGTTGCATATGAGGAAGGAAGAGGAGTTCGGGAGGGAGAAGCAGAGGAGGCCATTGGAGGAGGAGATGAGGGAGGAGTTCTTGAAATTGGGGAGGAGAAGGGAGGGCGAGAGGGCGGAGGAGTGCCACGTGCCGGCAGCGGAGTCATAGAGAGGGTAGTGTTGGTGGCAGTGGGGGTGAGAGAGGAGGAGGAAGGAGGAGAGAGACCGAGAGGAGTGTTTGGAGACGAAGGAAGGAGTGAATAGGAGAGAGTTGAAGTGCTTGCAGGTGGACCTGAGGATGAGGAAGGCCCTGAGTGGTAGGAAAGAGAGGATGTGCTCAAGCAGCTCCCGCGGCAGGAGGCTCCAGATTTTCGGATCCATTTTTACGACCCGGGTCGTTGGTGATGCTACTCGCCTCCGGTGCATGGCTCTTCTTTGATCATATCTGCAAGAACAAGAAACGGGAGTGTTACTAGTTTTAATAACCCTCTCTGAGAGAGATAGAGAGAGAGAGAGAAGTCGTTGACTTTTTTACCTTTGACTTTGGGGAAACAGTGGGCGCTTTCTACACAGCATGTGTCTGGTCCGTGGGAGATTCGAAAGAGCGGACCAGACACAGAATGTGCACTCCACACACAGAGTTCATGTGCCATCTGTCCACATCTATCCTAGATACAGCATGCTGTTTCAACTGGGAGATTTCGATCAGTCATCAATCGTCAGGATGGTCCAAACACATCTGCCAAATCCCCTCTCTTACTACCCCTAGTATCTAAGTCACAACCACCAGAACTATAGAAGGCAACAATCATACATGCATCTGTTGCCATTGCAGGCACTTGCCAGGCCAGCCTCAACCCCTAGTTGAGAGGGAACAGGAATCTGTTTCTTGGATGGTTCGACTTTTGAAGTATTGTTGATTTAACAGACCTCAAGTTGGTTTTCTTGATTGGGATCAAAAAAGGGCCAAGTCAGTGGAGAAAATAGAAGTAACAGAAATGGAGTGGCCTCAATGCAGCATTTACTCGAGGAAGTCTCCGGAAGATGATGTTGGCATATATATTCATTGTTGAAATGAGATCACCGAGCGAGTAACAAATGTTTCTACTTTTGACAAGCTTATTGTCCTGCCTCGAAATAGAGAAAGAATGGGCTGCAATAGACGAAAGCAAAATTAAATCTGGATGTACACAGATTACAGTAATATACAGTCATGACTCAAGACCTTTATTGCACAGAAGTGGTCATTACAAATGTAGGTAGAGGAGAAATGCACGTCAATCGCTCCATGAGTCCTCGTTCCTTGTAGTTCCTTCATCCTGCACGTATGATTCAAGTAAATAACAGATCGACTGCTCCATCAAACTTATGAACTCAGCCCTTTGGAAACAAGGTCATACCGCTTCATAAGAGATGAATGGTGACCACACAAGTATCTGTCTATCATTGCCACCGGTGTATAATTCCTGTGGGCATTATAGCCTATGTCAACAATCAGAATATGTATCCGACCAAAAAAAAATCAGCATATGTAATATACTTTATGAAACACCCCTTAAGGAAAAAAAATGAACATTAGATAAAAATCTCTGTAGAGCTTCTTTGTGATACAGGAGAAAAAAGGTAGGAAATGCGCACAAAGGCAAAATTCACAGAGGCAGATGAGATGCAGTAAGAAGTCCAATAGGGTACAACTGACAAACAATGTAGAGATTGACCATTTTTACCTGATCCTGTGCACTATAACAGCAGCAGTTCACATACTCATAGTGGCCCCGAAATGTGAAGCATGTCTTCCCCGACCAGAAATCAAATGCCTATTGAATTGAATTGGAAGCTTAATTCAATCGTGCCGTTAATTCTCCAAGTAAATCATAGGGAAAAAGAAGGAAGGTATCATATACTTTCACCACTGTCATGCATGGGACAAAAACAAGTGCGGAATCCTCGGACACTGACAGCTGTATGGGCTTGTTCGTCTGCAGGCGCACTGTTTCAAAGTTTACAAGCGTGTTGCAGCCTGATTCAATGTCCCATAGTCGTAATCTTGAATCAGAGCCTGAGAGAGAGAGAGAGATAAATATTGATAGGTAAGGTGTAATCACAAATGTCTAGCTGGCTCTTATGATAAACTGAAAAATAAGCGATGCAAATTTGCGTACTGAATAATAAGCACCGAAGTCTTTTAAGTATTGAGAATAAAAATAAGTAATTCAATACCATTTGAAAGTTAAGTAACAAAACTATACTGTTTTCTTATTAAACATGGAATGGTGAACATTATTGGCATGTTGATGATATAATTGGTAAGGTTTTACTTTCCATCATATCACTTAACCAATTAAGCAAGTCATTTTTACTTATCACATTAAGTGATTTTTGACTTCAATCAATTAATTAAGTTGTGTAGTTAGTGGTTATCGATTGCACTTAATGACATGGAGTGCTGAAAAGTTTAAATTTCAGCACTTAATGTTGTTACCAACAGACCCATTAAGCAGAAAGTTCTATGACTAATTATAATGCCAGTTCTGAGAACTCGTGAAGCTTGAGACAAACAAATACAAAAGAGATCACGAACTGATTCTGACAAAGTTTTTAAAAGTGGAACATCTTTGAGGCCATTTTGCGCCAATGAAAAACACAATTATGGAAAAATGTTTGACCAACCTTAGAATGAAGGCATTTTTTCTAAAAACCATAACAACGTAAAACTATTAGCCAACCAAACAACTTGTTGTCCTTTAAAATCCTTGTAAGTTAAGGCTAGTTGCTAGATGAGGTTCAATTTGGGATTGGACAGAGCTGAACCTGCACTAAAGAGGTACATGCCATCTTCTGATATTTTTAACCCAGTGACAGCACCATAATGAGCAGTAGCACGATCCTGACCAGACAACATTCCTGGATGTAACCTCTGTTTGATAGCTCCCTTCGCAGAAATTCTATTTGAATTTGAATGCTTGGAACCATTTCCATGGGAAGATTTCCTTGACACTGCTGCCGCTTTTGACGTATTTTGGCCTCCTGACAATGATCTAGAAGTTGAACCCTGTGCAAGAATATAGCAAATAGTGTCATTGTCCAAATGTCCCAGCAAGGGTTGTCAACAAAAGAAAATATCAAATGCAAAAAGCCAGATATAAAAAATCATTAAAACCCAAACAATCAACTTCCTTCAATTCAGAACACAATTTTTAATCCAATTAATTGGATGCTCAATGATTGTTGTGAATTAACAATCTATTTACTATGCTAAACCTTCTTTGTTTCGTTGATATGGAAGAATTTTTATCCAGAGGGCACCCTTCATGCCAACTAACTTAAAGACAACCAAAAACAGACTTCAAGAGCAGTTCTTCCAAACAAGATTTAGACAATTTACCGAAAAGTAGTTCACAAAAATAAAAATAAAAAACTTTTTCCCCACGTTGAAAAAAAAAAAAAATAGGGATCTCTCACCGAGGACATTTCTTCAGGCCCCCCCATCAAGTTAGATGTCCATTAACATTTCTTCATTTGAAACACCCACTACTTGATGTACTAAATTTATAACATTTCATATTAGATAGTTAGAAGGACAAATAGTGAGCATGTTTTCTCATCATATAAGGCTATTGGACTCCACTCCAGGCAATTCTATTCGAAGAATAGTCATAAATATTTGAAATTAGATGCTAACCACAAAGTCAATTAACCAAAACAAGAAAAAGGCGATCTTGGTGATTCATTGGAAGGCACACCAAAATGCAGATGCAAGTCACCACGCAAGACACAAACACCTTCGTCATTGCAGAGCGCTCCAAAAGAGGTGGCCGCCTTCCAAGTTGAGAGTGAGATTGATCTAAGACACGAAAGCATCCTGCACGTCTGATATCCCAAAAGCGTATTGCACCATCGCACCCTCCGGTTACCAGGACATACTCACTAGAATTAGACCACTGGACTGTCATTACTCCATCTGCTACCATGAAAAGGATAAATTATATGCACTAAGTACCCTAGCTGTAGCGCAGCTTCAAATTCTTTCACATACTACTTATTTTTCGCTTTCAGCCAAAACATTCATTCGCGTGTTATGTACAAGAGCTCATTTCAATAGCCAAAAAGATTAGAGGGAGATAAGGATTTTTCTCCAAAGATGGTTCACCAAAGCACCGCTAGAGCAGCATGGAGGATGGACATCCAGAAGATAGTCCATGCAAGCAATTGGCTGCTATTTAACCAATCAAAAGGAAGCATATATGGAATTTGTAATATATTTAACAGAAACAGTGAAAGAGAGACTCTGAAATGGTAAAAACATAGGAACACCTTTATTTAAGGTTGAGCCACCACTCAGAAACCGTGATGCAAGATTTTCTGTGGAGCAATCACCTTGTCTTATCTTGATAAAAATCTTGCTTATAGAAGGTTCTGAATGGTGTGCTCCTCAGATGGTCTAGTGAGAGATAAAAAGCTTAGCTCTTTATAGAAGAGGGTGAGGGTTCTTTTAAAACAGCAATAGATTCAAGTCTACCAGAAGATATCTTCAAAAGGGTAAACTAAGAGTTGTCACTAATGGAGGGTAGCTTCTATATGCTGCATCTCTTTAACCCCATATAACCATGGCAGGTAAACCGATCACTGGCAACAAGACAAAAGACAACAAGAAACTGCTCTAATACACGAAGATTATCTACTGGCTGCGATCCTGAATGGAACAAGATCTAGTTCAACTGTCATAGAGGGAAATTGATTGAAAGAATGATTAAAACAACTGGTTTACCTCGGTGACCAGACAATGTGTGAGCAAATGCACCTGAGGCAATATCACACAGTCGGACTTGAACATCTTCAGTTCCAGCAGCAATTAGCATGTGAGACGTTGCCAATGAGGACATGGAAGTACTATAAACCTTCCCAGGCATTTTGAAATTCATCACCACCTGTGTGAGATACGGAGACTTTCAGGATACTGTAACAGGAATGATAAAAGCAAAACGAAAAACTCCAAGAAGCATATGGAAGAAGAACAGAAAGAGCCTTTGCCTGCGTGGAATTTGTATCCCAAACTTTTATATAGTGATCATATGAGCCGGTTACAAAAAGCCCCGTGTCGATGGGGTACCATATGGCCGAGGAAATCGCATACTTATGTCGGTGCTCGTGCTGCTTATCGACGACAAAGATAGGTTTGTGCTTTGCGATCAGCCCGCCTCCCTCGAGCTTTTGTGGTTGTTGGACATCATAAACCGCGGCCGATGCATCCGAGGCGCCAGACAACAGATAGCGGCCCTCCGTCAAATCGACCTGCTTTCACAATTGAAGCTCCTCATAATTTCTATCAAAACTAAAATCTTGCCAAGACCAACGTAACATTACAACATCATTATTCAGGGACACACAATGTCAGAGACAGAGAATCGCCGCGACAGTCATCCCCTTCAGTTTGGAACACGAGAGAGAGGGGTCGAGCAGCTGCTCCATAGCTATCAGTATCACATCCACATCGCATTATAGCATCATCTTTTCTCTTCATCAGCAGTTCTCCAGTTCAACAAGACAAAACTACGAAATACAGGAAACTAGCCCCCCATCACAACCTATATCCATAGTTCTTAGTCATCATTTAACGTCGACCCAGCTCGAATCATCACCATCCGCCGGAATTGAACCGGTACCGACCAAAAGAACATGCCCAAAAGGCTTAGCCCACCGTTCGGCAACGAAACGAGGAGGGAACGAAAGCGGGGGAGGGGCACCAACCTGAAGAGAGTTGACGGAGCCCTTGTGGGGGGAGACAATGTCCTTGTGGTTGGAGAGGTGGAGAGACGCAACGCGGCTGGATTTGACCCGGTTCGCGAAGGAACGTGGGCGGATTCCGCCCGATTCTCTCTTCTCGATCTCCCTCCACATTCTTCGAGCATCTTCGTCCACTCCCTCCCTCCCTCTCTACCCTCCAAAGCTGCCAACGGGTTCAGAACTTGGGAAGTCAGGAAAGAGATTCTGGGCGTCCGGTATCTCCCTTCCGGGGAATGTTCTGGTTCGAGACCAGGAAGAAGGAGGAAGAAGAAGAAGAAGAAGATGGTGAAGGTACTGTGATTCAAGAATTCTTCATATTTGTCTCCTTCGTTTTTCTGGGTCGAGATTTACAGGCCCAATTGAGCACCCCGTTGGGAGATTTGAACTGAGCTCCTGTACTTCTTTATTGGGCCTGCCATGTGATTCTACGTCTTGAGTGGCGGCGGCAACCCAATTTTGTATTAATGAGGCGGCGGGCGGGCGGGCGGCGGCGGCGGCGGTCTCGGACGCCTCCTGCGACCTCACCATTGGCCTCCAAGCGTGTGCCTGTCGAATGGGCTATCCCTCCTCTCCCCTCTCTATTTCGCTCCCCTCCTCGGTATGTTCGTTGCTCGACTCGAGGGTAGGAAACGGCTGTCGACTTCGAAAAGCCGAGCAGAACTTGAGTCCGGCTCGAGCCATTCCTGAGCCGAGTCTCGATTCTTAGCTCGTTAGCGTACGCGCCTCGTCCTCATCGGCGGGATTAGATCCAATCCCAATGTACAAGATCTTGTAGCACTTACTAATGAGTCCCGTGGCAAGTGTGAGGGGACGAGGAAGTGGGCATTGACATAGGGAGAGATGAGCTAAGGAGAGAATGGAGTTGATTGGGGGGGGTCTCTCCTAATGGGGTGACAAAGTGACGCCGGCAACTAGGGATGAGCAAAAGGAACTATCCAGGCCCGGACCGAATTGGATCAGCCGGTTTTGGGCAGTTCTCGGATGCACTGGTCCGGTTTCCAATTCCATAAAATTGGAACCGGTGAAATTCGGTCCGATTCTAGGTGTGGAATCGCCCAACCGAACTACCGGACCGAACCAATTTTTTTTTAATTTTTTTTTTTTTTTAATTTCTTAGAAATTTGCAAAGTTTTCTCTCCCATTTCACAAAGGAAGCCTTCAAGGCCGAAGCACTTACGTTTAGTTATGCACATGAGTAACATGACAAGAACAAATCAAAATACAACAATAGTTGTTCATTCCAATCAAAATTTGCCACAAATTGAAAAAATCTCTATGAAACCTATAATGTTACACGTAAGTTACTAATTACATAAACTCTTTGATTATCAAGAACATCTTCGCTTTCGTCTTGAACTTTAACGACAAATCAAAGAAAATAAAAATGAACATGCCAATGGTTCCATTGGCTCGCCGGGAAACCGGATCATCTGAGAATCGATCACCCCTGCCAGCAACGTTATCAATGGGCAAAGGCTGCCGATGATGGATGGCGTAAGGTGGAGCACTGGAGGCGGTTCGGTATGCAGCCCTATTCTCTATTTGGTCTTGCCCAGTGTTGAGAAGAGGGAGATTTTTTCGAGTGGAGTGGTTGGTAGACACGTTAAACAAATCCAAATATTTATAGGATGGTGACAAGAGATGGGCACAGTGTGCGAAAATAATGCCCGCGACGCATACCCATCAAAATGAAACCATTGGCATGATTATTCACGAGGAAAATTATCCAAACAGTCCTAAACCTATTTTACTTTTGCCAATTCAGTCATAAACTCTTCAATTTTGCCAATTGAGTCCTAAACATTTATACTTTTTACTAATTGAGTTTATTCGGTCAATTTTGACCGGAAAATGTTGACGTGGACACCGGCCGGCCTACATGATGCTGACGTGGATAATTTTAATAATATTTCAATATATTTCGAATTTTATTTCTTTTCTATTCTTTTTTTTTTCCTCCCCTTCTTCCTCCTCTAGCCGATTGTCGACTGTCAGCAACCTGCCAGAGGGGGGAGGGCCGTCAAGCCTCGCCGGCCTTGGGCGAGGCTCGCCCCCGTCGGCCACAGGCGATGATGAGCATCGCCGGCCCCTGGCGAGGTCGGTCCCACCCGATCTAGCGAGGTCGAGCCTCGCCGAGCCATGGCGAGGCTTGGCCTCTCCATGATTGGACGACGTCGAGCCTCACCCAGCCATGGAGAGGGCACCCTCGCCAGTGGTCGGTGGGGGCGAAGCTCGCCCAAGGCCGGCGAGGTTGACCTCGCCGGGCCTCCCCTCTGGTCGGTTGCCAACGCCCGACGATTGACTGGAGGAGGAAGAAGGGGAAGAAAAAAAAGGGAAAAAGAATTGAAAAGAATAAAAATAAAAAATTCAAAAAATATTATCAAAAATTATCCACGTAGGTCGGCCGGAGTCCACGCTAGCGATTTCTGGCCAAAATTAGCCGGATATACTCAATTGGTAAGAAGTGAAAATGTTTATGACTCAATTGGCAAAATTAAAAGGTTTATGACCGAATTGGCAAAAATGCAATAAGCTTAGAACTTTTTGGACAATTTTTCTATAATCTTCTCTCTTCATTAATCTTCTAGAATCGTTCTTTTTTAATTTGGTATTTTCACATTACAAATAAAAACAAGATTTGCTTTTCATTTTCACATGCTAACCAAACAAGCTGTATAGACAATTATCAAAAAACCAGCGATAGAGTCCGGCTGGGCGAACCTCGATCCCGATTGGTTCGGAAGTCAATCGGACATCTAGAAGAGGGGCCCAAGGAATGAACATGCACATCTTCCTAAATTCATCTGTGTCTTTTTTTATGTATATATACAACAGACACTTTCTAGAAGCTCATAATTAATAAGAAAGAACTAAGCAAATTGGCCTGATTCCGTTCGGCAGTACTTTGGTCTTTTCTTGACAAAATCACAAACGTGTGCTCTAGTTTTCGTCGATTAATTTAGACTAACGAAGCAACGGTCCCATTTGGGATTTGACGAAACGTCCCACCTTCTTTCGAACTATGCCCCATCAAATCATTTTCCTCTGGCCGAAGCTAAAGATGGATTGACATGCCGGGTTACATGTATCACGTTTCGGAACTCGGTTAATCATGTCGATGGTGACGGGCTCATTAATGCCAGACCTTTGAGTTGCGATGGCACGAAATAGTTATGACTCTATAGAGTATTCCTTTACGGGTACGAGATCTACGGGCTCATCAACGCCAGACCTTTGAGTTGCGAGGGCACGAAATAGTTATGATTCTATAGAGTATTCCATTACGGGTATGAGATCTTCATGGTAACGCCCAAAATGAGTCACGGGCACTTATTGCCTCTTCCCGCCTTTTCGAAAAGAAATATAATGAGAGCTTCCAAATAAAAGGTAGTCCAATTGGATAAGTTAATTAACCAGACTTTGGAATCCTTTAGTGATTCTTTTGTCATGAGATATCTTGACCTTCCGTGCCAATTTTCTAATAGAAACGTCATAGCCTTAGTCCCTACTGTAATTTTTCTTGTCATTTTTGTTTTTTTGGAGTGTTTGAGACTTTTTGAGCCTTCAAGCTATCTAGATCGGGTAACTATCGAAAGCACAAAAGCCCATACTCCCGAGAATTGCCTCGAGAGAATGCGCAAAACGCGGTGATCTGAACTGGAAACATATATCGCGCTTACCAGTCGAGGCACTCGGACACTTCTAGTTCTACTCATGTAGTTAGAACGTGGACGTCCCCAGGTATAGCAAGAACACCAGCTCTTGCAGTTCGAGAATAGGATCATGCTTCAGATTAATTAAAACCATGCTTTATTTTCCGGCTGATGGCTACCGATCTAGGCAGAAGAATTTGGTATGCAGTTGTCTGGTCAGTTAGTTCAACGAACATACCTATCTTCATCATCTTCTCCTCCTGTCGGTTAGCCAATGTTAATCTTGATTCTTAAGCAGCATACGTAATTTGTTCGGTTTCTGTTACGGACAAGAACATACGAAGCACGAAATGAAAAGGGTAAAAATCTCGTCATTCATGGATGATCAGCAGCTTCTCACAGGACTCTAAACCAAACCACTATGCCATTACAGTTCTTACATGACATGGGGGGTGTCCTGTGTCCTAATACATCACCTATATACTCATGATTTACACCGATTACAAAGATTAGAATGGAGAACAAACTGTTTGACAGGGGGGGATCAAAACCGAACTACATATCAACATGAAGCTGAGAGTGCAAAAAAAGGTTGATGCATCAGCGAAGTCTAAATGGTCTTTGTACACCTAAGAAAGAACAGAAAGAATGTGCAGGGGACTGTGAATTGAGCGAATCTGGGCCGTCTTTTCACCAGCTTTTCCGGTGGCCATGGCGGTCGGGCGACTTGTCCGGTCCCGAATTATTTCCGCCTCTATTATTAGGAGGAGAGGAAGACCTGTTATTGTTGTTGATTACCATCTTGTTATCGCTCAACCTTCGGCCGAGTTCCTTCTTCTTCTTCATCGCCGGCTTTTGCGAACTATTCAAGCTCCTGGCTTTGAGTGCAGGCACTATGTACCATCCGATCGAGGTGCACAGGATCGCGACCGTTCGCCCAAATAAGGCCAAGAACAGCAGAATCAAGACGATAGCCACCGGCATGTAAAACGAAGGCCGCCTCCAATTCTTTATTCTCATGAATCCCCACTCAAAGCTCTTGTTCTTTGCCTTCTTAACCGAATCATCCGCCTTCGTTCCACTCACTTCCTTGACATCACTTGAAGTTTCCATAGGCGACTTTTTATCCTGAGCATCCGAATTCCGCGCCGCATGGTCCCCGGCAGTACGAGGATCGTTGGTCATGGTCCTGTGATCTCGAGACTTGTTAGCCTTATCCTTCTTGACCACGATAGGCACGCAATCGTTCGTGCTCGTGTAAGCGAACCGGACGAGGGATATGTCGCCGGAGCCCTTCTGGGTGTAAATCTGCTGCCGCTTCTCCTGGAGGTCGGACAGGAGGGCCTCGAACTTGTCGAGGCCGCGGGACGAGTACGGGTTCTTGCTCTCCTTGTTGTGGTGGCTGTTCCTCCGCAGCGATCTCCTCGGCGTCGAGCAAGGGCTCGTTCCGTACAGCTGGTCGTCGTCGTCGTCTTCCGGATGGAATATGCCGCAAGTGAAAGGGGTCAACATCTGAGAACTGGGTTTGCTTAGCTATGTTTCTGAGGAGGTTTCTGGTGTTGGTTTGATTTCTTCAAAGAGGAGCCATTTAAGTACTCGTCGAGAGAGAGAGAGAGAGAGAGAACAGCTTGGAGGACAAGATCAACCAACGCGGTCAAGCTAAAAGGTTTGAAAAATCCATGAATGAAAATAATAGGGCAGAAGCTTCGCAACGTGGACCATGTGTCTCGTTTGACTTTCTTGGAGAGAAGGCAACCACCACTTGACCGGGAAAAGTGCCAAAAAAGTCATAAACCTTTTGCATTAGTGTCAATTTAGTCCTAAACCTTTTTTTTGGTGCCAATTCAGTCTTAAACCTTTTGCATTGGTACCAATTTAGTCCTAAACCTTTTTTTGGTGCTAATTCAGTCATAAACCTTTTAAATTGGTGCCAATTCAGTCCTAAACCTTTTGTTTTTGTGCCAATTTAGTCCTTCCGGCCAATTTTGACCGGAATTTGTCGATGTAGACGCCTGCCGGCCGGTCACCGGCGCCGACGTGGCGCTGACGTGGACAACTTTAATAATATTTTTAATATTTTTTTGAATTTTTATATTTTTTCCTTTTTTTTCTTTTTTTTTTCCACTTTTTTTTTCGAGTTTCTCCTCCTTCCTCTGGCCGGTCGCCGGTCCGGCGAACGGCCAGAGGCCAGAGGCCGGCGAGCTCGACCTCAAAAAAAGGTTTAGGACTGAATTGACACCAAAAAAAGGTTTAGGACTGAATTGACACCAAAAAAAGGTTTAGGATTAAATTGGCACCAATACAAAAGGTTTATGACTGAATTGGCACAAAAAAAAAAGGTTTAGGACTAAATTATATCATTTACATATATCACATCACTATTTGGTTATAACGTCTGGATTGGGGTGGACACTAGTAAACCCAAAAAAATCCAAGATTTATATCATTCACATATATCATGTCACTATCTGATCCTCTGTTCGTCAAATTGCATCTATCAGCACTTTAATTATCCCTGGATTTTGTTTCTTTCTTGAGACTTCAGACGCCAGTCTCTTTGAGTTCTTCCATGAAGTGTAGATATCGGTTTTTGATATTTTGGGGAACGAAACCTCGGTGGAAAATCGAGAAAAAGTTTCGATAGCTATATCCTACCCTCCGTTGGAGTCATTTTCTTATCCATATGCATTATGCACAATCCCACTCATGGTGGAAAATCGTGCTCATTTCGATAAGTTCGAAATTTAGCGGTACGTCGCAGTAGGCGAGTTCAATGAGCTAATACAAAATCTTCCACTCCTTCGACTTGATCTCATAAAAAGCTCATATCATCTTATCAAAGTCAAAAGCACACGGGAAGGGTGGTATAATATCTTGATTAACACAATTTTTTTGCGCCCTTAATCTCGTGGGGTAGTTGACTTTAGCGACCTTGATTAATCTACGACTTCATAATTTCTAATGGTTTTCCTAAACAAGAATGACGTACTAGGTGATAGAAAAGCTTCGAGGTCGATTAAATATTCAAGGATGGTCGAAGATGAGATACTGGTATACGTATCATCTTCCATCTTGAACGTATTGCACAAGGCTCGAATATTTTATGTCCATCATATGTAAGACCTCGATTTGCTACTCCCACACTTCAGCATCGGATCTGTGAAGACCTGACCTTGTCTCCAATCTAGAATTAGTGCCACAATTTTTTTGGAAAGGAAGGACTGATTGCTTGGGAATCACGGAAATTCAGAAGTCAAAGGGATTTTTGTTAAAGAAAGTTTGTTGTATACTAATTATAATGACATGATCTCTAATTACAGCACCAAATCACCAAGGTCAGCTAGACAACAGTTCACTCTAACCGGCTTTTTCTTTTTGTCGAAAGAAGATTGTATTCGAATGTATAATTGGAGTTCCGACCCAAAAAAAAAATGTCAAATTGGAGTCGCTTGCTTCTACCCTTTATTATTTTGAGCAGAGAAATTCTATTAACAGGCAATTGGGGCTACTAATTCATTGTAGGGCGAGCATTTTTGCTTGTGACGATTAGGGGTGTACAGGTTTGAGTGGTATTGGTTCCAAGATTTTGGTAACCTACCCCGGAACCATCCTCAGATCAGGAATCGACGGTATCTGTAAGTTTTGAGGTATCCTATTTTATACCTTTTCAAAAAAAAAATTTTTTTTGAAGAAAAGTTTGTTAAGTTAATATCACATTCAACATTTAACCAAAACATACATAGATTACATAAGATTATACAACAATAACATAATCATGAAACGATACTAACTTGGAAAGTGAAAAAAAATTATATAATCAGCTTCTACCAATTGATAATTTCAATTATGAGATTACATGAAAAGCTATAATATTTTACAGAGAGCATGAACTAAAACATATCGTTCGCAGACATAGACAAACTTGTCAGAGAAAGAAGGGGGTTGTAAAACCGGGTTGAAGATCTGTTTTTTCCATGGGGTTGCAGATTACTGACCAGTTAAGTAAAAATTCCTTAAATAAAAAAGAGAGTGTCACTAATTAAGTACTCATATATTTGCTTAAGAAATAATATACATTGTATTGTGTACCATTCTACAGGGTACCCTACACAAATTATAGGGTGGTATGACACCAAACTTCAGTGCATATCATTTATTCATCGGTTTCAAAATTTTGGAACATGAAACCTAATATGTGAGCCCTTGCAACCACCCTGAAACCTACTCGACCATGTCAATTTTCTTAGGGTCCGCAGGATCCGAAGGTTCTCGTGCACACCCCTAGTGAGATTATATGTACATAAGGGTGAAATCAAGTCAAGCTACTCGTGAATGACTCAAGCTCGTTTGGATGACTACTCGAGAGGGAGAGTTCTCTAAAAGTTGTAAATTTATTGTATGACGACCAATTCAGTCATAAACTTTCTAATTTGGCCAATATAGTCCTAAACATTTTAGCGATAGTTCAATGTAGTTTTTCAAGCCAATTTAGGCCGGAAATCACTGACGTGTCCAACGAGGCTCAAAATGACATCGATTTGAGAAATTTTTTCAATTGTTTGATTTTTTCTTTTCTTTTCTTCCTTCATATTCTCGAGTTCCAGCAGGTAAGGTCATCGGGACCTTAGTGATGGATAGCGACCCTCGCTCAAATTTGGGTGAGTGCGGCCCTTGCCAAAATTTGGGCTTCGCGGCCCTCACCGAGTGAGGGTTGCCTGTGGCCAACAAGGGTTGCGACGCCCTTGCTTGTGGTCGGTGGAGAAGAATACAAAAAGTAGAATAGGAAAAAAAAAAAGAAGAGAGAAAAGATTGTCCATTTCGGTCACCAGCCCTGCTATGTAGGATGGCTGGCGCTGATTGAACCGCCACATTAACGATTTTTGGCCTAAATTGGTCGAATGTACTATATTGAAAAATTGTCAAATGGTTTTGGACTATATTGGTCAAATTAGAAAGTTTAAGGCTAAGTTGGCTATCATATAATAGGTTTGTGACTTTTTGGATAATTTTGTCATAATTAATATCAACTTGCATAAATTCAGACGAGCTTGAGTTCGAGCCATACGGGTATTTTGTCAAGTCAAGCTCAAGCTCGTCAATACTCAACTCATTAGGCCAGCGAGCCTAATCGAGCCTGCTTAAACTTTCGAGATTTTCTCAAAAGCGTTCAACACTGATGCAAAATCGACACAAAATACTTTAAAAAGTACCTAACATTCAAGCTAATTAAGCCTGAGCTTGAGTTTCATTCATAAGTCGATCATACTCGAGCGCTCGATTTTTCGATCGAGATAAGCTCAAGTAGGAAAATTAGTACCGGATGAAACTCCAGTTGAGTTTCGAGCACTACATATATGAGTTGAGTCGAGTCGAACTTGGTAGCGTAGCTGCTGTACTAGAAAGGGAATCACGGCCCTCCTACTCCAACATTCATAAAATTGGAACTTTCTTGTCCTTTTTGCCCCCCTCCTTCTCCTTCTTTCTTGGTTGGCTGTGACGGCTGCGAGCTCATCCTTGATTATAAATGCTCACCTACTCTGAATTAATTGAAACGACAGGTTAAAATTCTTTTCGTTATGTTTTCGTTTCCCCCACGAAACTACCCTCGATGTGAAGAACAGCAGACACGGCATGTTTCCTCCTCCTCCTTCTTTCTCGATCGTTGACTTTGATTTGGTCACGGACGGGCAGGTTGAACTGTAGCCCTAGTTTTCTCATCAAAAGCGTGTGCTCTCCCGCAGACCCGAATGACTCATGTGAACACCAAAAGCCCGAACGAGGACCGGAATGGCCATCAGACCCGTGATGCATCACCGCGTTCCGACTTTCTCAGACTCTAGAACAAGTCAACGTCTCCGCCGGGAATAACATCAGATCAAAACTCAGCAAAACCCTGACAAAACATGGATATACATACGTACACGTATCACCTGAAACGCCCTTCTAGATGATAAGCCCCGGTTTCGGCTAAACTCCTTCTGGTTTCGGCATTTATTAGTCTTTCGTTTGTATTCTTCTTCTTCTGTTTTCTGTTCTTTTTTTCCAGGAAAAAGCCGATGGATGTGTCTGGCAATTGGCATGTCTTTGTCGTGCTTGGAAGAATGGCGTGCATCGATGGAGGATTACAACGTATGCGCGAACGATTGACGTATCGCTCACCTTATTGACGTTCGCCAAAATTTGTGAAAATGTATTATTCTAACATAAAGTAGGTAAGCCATTACCGATAGATTCAATATTTGGACTCATCCAATATATTTCCATTAGTCAAGGCAATGATGCAACATGTCATTCATCCTTTCCGTATAAAAGTAACGGTTCCATCACATTATATTCACCGGGATGAATATAATTTCTGTTTGATTCTTATCAATAGCATGTCATTATAGAAATGCCCATTGAATGGGTAAACATTGGTGGGAAATCTGTTTAGAAAAAACGAAATTGCACATGCTACATTAGATATTCACGCCGCGCGTCATTTCAAACAGCTTCTTAAACCCAAGATTGAAGATGGTACGTTATATTTATCTAACATGACATATGTATTTGGATTTTTTGGGTCTTTAGCACACATCTCTTGTTATGTCTTTTTATTTATTTAATTATATGATGCTATATGTATGTGTTGAGCCATCTAGCTAAGCTAGAAGATTAGCCAAAAAAAACAAAAAAGAAGAAGCCATGAAGCTAGAGCAGTCCTATATTTCAAGTAGGATCACCTTCAGCAATCAAACAAAAAAATCCAACGACTTTATCGGGATTAGGTGCGTGTCACGAAGCTGCTAGGATCTAGATATAGATTATCTCTTTTTAGATACCCAGGTTACGTGACCAAGTTCCTAGTTCAGGCTCATGGTCCACCATCGGGTTTGGTTTCTTTTTATCCCTAAAAAGGATCGATGATACATAACACATATATGACTCGATTGTGAACAGAGCATGTTCATGAGTTTGGTTTGATGGGCCAAATGGGGGCCCACTTGGCCTATCCAAGGGGACGGGCCCAATTCGCGACGTGCGATCCGATCGCCAAATTTTTTCAGGTGGGCATACGATATTCGAGGCGGAACATACACTTTCATGAAGTAGTTATACCACGTGTCAATAACACGAGATGGAATAAGTTCATCAAAATTTAAACTCGAAAGAGATGCATATTAATGGCAAATGTAATTGGTCCATCAACACAAAAGGTATGTTCTCCTCCTTAAGAGCCTAACACTTTTTTATTTTATTTTATTTTATTTAGGAGATGTTAAGGACTCTAGGTTGTTCGAGTCATGGAAGGCTTGCGTGTGGCTTTTTGGGCCTAATATTAGTCAACTCATATGCCATGCATACATCGGGCTTTCTAAGGGCGAGACAGGTTCAACTCGGAAATCATTTGGAATCGGCCTAATAAATTTGATTCTAAGGAGAACTAGATAGGTTCATGAGCTAAAAGAAAAATGGAAATAGAATAAAAATTCGGTCTAATTTCGAGATCGAGGGCTGCACCCACCAATTCTACTTAACCAAATTAAGCAGGTTGGTTCTAGGGCAGAATTGACTTCGAATCAGTCAAGACTATTTTCCTTTATTAACAAATAAAAACTCAAAGAAAGAAAAAGTTCACAATCAACTCGCTCATTCTAGATTTTTGCCTCTCTTCCGGTCTCTCCAATTTTGTTCAAAAATAAGAAATTGAAAACAAAAATGGAAAGATGTAGAGGTAATCGATCCTAGATCAGGCTTAAGAAATAACCGGTTGGGTTACAAGCCGGTTCCAACGGAGGCTGGTTCGATTTCCAGTTCCAACTTCGGTATTGGACCATGCTCACCCTCTATGCTTTGGTGGGCATGTAATCCACATGCCAAAAAAATTCTAAAAGAAAGTGGAATAAATAAGTTACCAATCTATTTAGAGAAAGTACATCTAAAATTTTTTCTGTCAGGGAGTAAATCGATGAACTGACTAATTTCTTATCTAGAATTTCCACATGAGAAGTCAGTGGAGAAAGATGTGAATAATGAGAGAGAAAGAGGAGACAGAGACATACATAAGTAGGCTGATACCTTAACATGTAGGTTGAAATATATAGGTTGGGCTGGGACTACCAAAGCTCGGTGGGCCGGGCCTTTCATTGTAAGGTTATCACCCAAGCCCGCCAATTTGCCCTTTGAGACAGCACGGGCTCGGGCGGGCTCGGTATAATGGATGATCATCGATCATCATATTACTAGTTCCTTTTCGTTACCTCTTAAAGAGTTCATGTTTTATAAAGTGATAAAATAAGAATAGTAGATTTACGACTTTAAATTTTTGTACTCGGTTTTAGCCTTTCTATATAAGAAAAAAATCTATTTTTCGTAGGGGTTATCCGGCGAACTTTGTGTAGCGCAATTTCTCTGCCAATGATGGACAGACAATTCATTTTATTTGATAAGAAATGTAAGAATCCGATGTACAACTTGTCATGGGACCATGTCAATGACCGCCCAATGTCCAATCCCTCAACCACTCACACGAAAATGCCGCGGGTCCCTTTTGTCCTTGTCTCATTCAAATTCAAGCAAAGTTGCAGATCGGGCAACAAGAGGGAAAACAATATGCAGCTCCCCTCCATACCCCACTCCAGCACCTCATGTTTTTTTCCCCCTTTCCATGGGTCAAAAGCCAGCACCATCTGTCGAGACACCGATGACTGAACCGTCCACTACTCCCTAATGCTAGTCCAAGTGCATCATCCTGTGCATGACGCTGTTCGATGTGCCATTTTCGGATGACATTCAAAGCACTTAGAGATTCCATAACGTGGTATGCTCATCCATATATGCTTAGAACAGAGACGCAGGCCAGAGATGTGGATAAAGATTTCTGCCACGAAACTACTGTACTTGTTCGCGTGATGTGCTCTGTAAGGTGCCAAGTGACTCACATCTTTCTTGACCCGCAGAACAGAAAAGGTGATCCGTGTTAATAAACAATAATAAGTTGAGAACAGCAAACATGTTCATGGGCCAGGACAGCCATTCATTAGCTAGCTCGATTGGAATATTGTCAGAAACAGGTTCATGATGGTGGTGCACATGACATTGCAGATCCTTGTGAGTTGTGTGATTGAGTTCCTACCAATTACTGTCTAAGTAACCTCTCGAAGGGGTTGTTCAATTAATGCCTTTCATGTTCGTTGCGGGGCCGCTTTTTATTATGACTTGGAAGGGACCCAAATGGCAGGCGGGTGCTTCAAATTCAAACATAAATGATTGCTTTTTGGCTGGCCGCTTCAAAAAATCAAGACTCTTGGTCCCCCCATTCACCTCCAAACCGGCTATCCTCTGTCTTCCCCTTTTATTTTTTTTTCTGCCTATCTTTTGCCTCAGCGTCCACACCCTCATTTGCTTTCAACCACACAGACCCACACAAGAGAGGCTCACTCCTGCAGTACTGGTGTGAGAACAATTGAGGGGTCATGGCTTTCGCGGGGACGACCCAGAAGTGCATGGCGTGCGAGAAGACGGTGTACCTGGTTGACAAGTTGGCCGCCGACAACCGTATTTACCACAAGGCTTGCTTCCGGTGTCACCACTGCAAAGGAACCCTCAAGGTAAAATCGTGAAGCCAGTCTGTTTTGAGAATCATATAGATAAGAGGTTCGATCCGTCGGGTCAGGTTCATCGTCTTCAATACCTGGTCTGTTCAGATGTTGCTGTCGGTGTCATTTGGATCATGTTGGTGCAGAAACAAGACATTTACTGAATTATCCCACTCAATCTGCATTACAATGACCAGGGATGCCTAAGTTTCTCCTGCAATACTGAGATAGTCAAGTATTGATCAGATGTTTTTAGTTTATAATTGAAAGATCTGGTTTTTGAAAGTTGTTTGTTATTGCCAAGCAGAACATTTAGTCAATCCGGAATGTATTCTGAACCGACTTGATCCGTGCTAATCAAATCACTTATTGTCCAGCTTCTAATCAACTATATCCCACTGCCAAAAATGCAACAAATCTCATATCTTGGTTTCTCCAAACTGGCACTGTGGCTATCTGCTACAAACAGTCCGAGTTCTCCAACATGAACAGCCTACATTTTCACAAGTAGCTTGATGTACTTTGTATAATTCTGAAACTAGATTCGACCTTGCAGCTTGCAAACTACAATTCCTTTGAAGGAGTTCTCTACTGCAGGCCACACTTCGATCAAATTTTCAAGAGAACTGGCAGCCTTGAGAAAAGCTTTGAAGGTCAGAATTTATCTGAGTTCCTCTCCCATCCAACATCAATTTGAATCTCTCTCGAGTGAATTTCTGTTCTCTCAGGTATCCCGAAAATTGTCAAACCAGAAAGACCTTTGGGCAGTGAGGTAATTTTCCATAACCAACTGTTCCTCCTTTCCTGTCCAATAATTCCTCGCAAGCATCATGAGTCTTGATATAAAGCTGCTCAAACAGAAACCCGCTGCGGCTAAAGTCTCGGGCATGTTTGCTGGAACAAGAGAGAAATGCTTTGGTTGCAAGAATACTGTATATCCAACTGAGAAGGTACCTACTCAACCATTCTCATTCTCAGTATTATAGCCAACACAGAACAAGCATAGGCGGACTAAGGATTTTGAATGATTCAAAGATTCGGAAATCTTCTAAAATCGCCGCAATAAATCTTTGATGCAGGTGAGTGTGAACGGAACTCCGTACCACAAAAGCTGCTTCAAATGCAGCCATGGCGGTTGCACAATAAGCCCGTCAAATTACATCGCACATGAGGGCAAACTCTTCTGCAAACACCACCATGCACAACTCATCAGAGAAAAGGGCAACCTCAGCCAGCTTGAGGGAGACCATGCTGGAAACGAGAAAGTTGCAGCTAGAGAAGTTGCTGTGTGAGACATAAAGAACAGCATCTGCTATACTATGTTCTTTTCTCCCTCTTGCATTCTCCTTCCTTTCTGGTCAAGACTGTAGTTTCTGTCGTCTGAAAGGCTTCATGTATCCATTTTGTTCTACTCGAAATGTGTTGGTCACCGTTTCTTGAATTTCGGTTTCCTTCTTTAGCAATGGACACTCGCTAGGACATGCCAGCTTACACTTAGAGTTGCACATTCAGATCTCAAATGACTCTTACACATGTATGTCCCTGCTGTCGTGATCTGTAGCAAAGAATCTGCAACTGCAGCCATCCATTCTATACAAGCACCGTGACAAACAAGCTCCTTCAATCTAGTTTTTAACACATTAAATCGAAAGAGCAGAATAGCAAAGGCCTATCTTCCATATGCTCAAGAAAGCCAGAGTCCCCACTATTATGTGGGGAAGTTGGGATTAGCTTCGAGGAAAAAGGGTATATCACCTTACATCATCCATGGTAACAGTTTTTTAGTGAGATATACTTTATCAGCTTATTATAAGCGCCCATGACAGAACCTATGGCCTGAATAGTAAAGCAGTTGGGCAGGCATACAAGGGAGATTAGGAAGAGGACATTGAGATAAGAGAAATGGGTCGAAAATGAAAATCTCCAGAATTCAATAAAACTTTGGTTAAAATGTCATCATTTCCATAATAAACTATGTTACAAATCGGCCTACAAGGTGGAGCCGAAGGTTTAAAGCAAAAGAACATGACACCAGTGCCATACTGGATATATGGCTCCTCTTTCCTAAGATTCTAATATGTACAGAATGAATCCAGAAGACCAAATCAATAATCACAAAGCTTAACCTAGTGAAGAATACAACCATTCAGGGCTATGTGCTTCAGGTCTATAATGAAATTGTCCCGAAGAAACCCGAACCCAAATGTACCGTTTCTATACTGCCAGATCCTTCCCTCGTTACGCCTGTCAGTAGCTGTAGTCTCAGCCAAATCAGGAATTAGCAAGTCATAACTTGAATTTATGTGCAGGATGCGAGAGACCGGCTCATTTTCCATTGGAAGCTCCCCGAACATATAATTTTCTTCATCAATGGGGTGGAGGTGCATGCGACTATCGTACATGATTGCCTCCTCTTGAGTAAAAGGTGGCTCAATAAACGTAGCTCTCGATGTCCAAAAAACTGGGGCACAACCAGAAAAACGGTCTGCTGATTCCCCAACCCTTCGGCAGGCAATTCCCCCAATTTCATCGTAAGTCACGAGATAGAATTCCAGTTTCATGCAGTCACCAATTCCCTGCAAGAAAGAGCTTCAGATATGAAGGAGAACTCAAACATATTCAAGCCAATCGCCCAGATAAATAATACTAATCTACAGCATATGATGTAATAGTTCATTCTTGTTCCTCTGAGTCTGTTGGAACTGGAAGGAGAGCACTAACTTCTCAAGCGTACAATGTCCTGACTTTCTGAAAAGCACTCTCAATCCACATTTATTGAATGAAAGACTCAATTAATTTCAACCGAGCATAAGTTAAAACCCGGAACGAGGCACCAATTTGACATCATTATTTATATGTAAACTAATTCACCAGAGGAGTGAACAGGGGAAGAATTCATGTAACAGAATTTACAATCACAAGGCATTGGCAATGGATCTTCTCTCATAACCTGATTTCTCAATTCAAATACTCGTCAACCAATCCCTACCCATCTTTCTTGGCATAAGTAGTGAAGTGTCAACACGAGACATCTCTCGAAAAATCATTGGCATAAGCTGTTCTTAAATCCTAATGTGTTAATTCCCAGTTCAGGTTTGGCATAAGCATTCCACTCACGGAACAACAACAGCCATTTTGAGATCTATTAAATAATCATCGGTGGCAGGCAACATCGACATATACCTACAGCTGCTGATTGGCATAAGAGCAAATATGTAGAATTTGCATCATTGACATATATTATTCGCAACGGTCTGGTTAAGAGTTAAAACTTTTTCGATCCATTTTGACCTCTTCAACAGATAATGCAGTGCGCTCAGCCCAAAGCAGGAAATGCTTGGATATATCGAGGGAAGATCAATCAAGTGTACTGAAAACCCCGGACAGCCAAAAAGCATATAAACTCAACATTTAGCACAAAAGATCCAAACTTTCTTAAAAGTGAATTTTGAATCATTAAGAGCCTATCACCAAATTACCCATTCTAAACTAAAAGCTGAACTCACAATTTCAAGGCAATGATCAGAGCAAAAAAAGCAGCTCCAATCTCTCCATGTAAGACGCAACTAACTTAACCGATAAATGCAGATGCACTGATCGAGATAAGATGATTAAGATCAGAAATAATAGCTCAAATCACCTTCCATAGCCCCTGCAAAGGCCGAGAAGGAGTGGGCGAGCAATCTATTATTTTCACGAAATGCTCGGCCTCCAATTTTCTCTTCCCCTGCCTCTCCTTCTCCCTCTTCCTCTGCCTTCTCGATGCGCCACTCCCGCCCGGGCTAGTCCGGTTTGCGAAGTACTGGTACATCTCTGACATGTACCGATCCGGTAAGCTCCCGAAAGTCCCATTCTCGCTGCCACTGGCCTCCTCCTCATCGCTACACAAGTTCGCGGAGCTCGAACTCCTCCAAAACCCATCCCTGCGTGAATTGTACCCGAGCCCCATGTTCTCCTCCACCACCAAATGCGTGCACCCCATAAAATTCACATCCACCGGAATCAAATCGGTCTTCCCGATCGAATCGACGCAATAACTAGAGCCGAATTCGCCACTCTTACCATCCGGGTCAACGAAATTTACGGGTTCCCCGCTGGGGGAAAGCGACATCCACAAAAACGGCGACTTTACCACGCCGTAGGTGCCGTCCTGGGAGGGGAAGACCCTGTAACCGGCGACGAACGAGGGGCCCCACTCGAAGATGACCAGCGGCGGCGGAGGCGGCGGGGCGGCGGCCGCGGCAGACGATCTCTGGCCGCTGCGCCGCCAGAAGCCGATGAGGCTCTCCCACTCGCTGAGGGTCTTGTAGAGGAGCCTGTAGCACACCTTGCCGCCGCCCCATCTCCGGATTTGGGTCTTCGACCCCCACCGCCGGTCGCACAGGGCGTGCCAGAGCTTGGCGTCGCTCCTGCACAGCGAGACGAAGCGCTTCGAGGTGCAGGAGAAGGTGGCGATCTCGGGGGGAGTCAGGAACGACAGGATGCAGAGCTGGACGTCTTCCGGGAAGTCCGCGAACGACGCCGGGGCGAGGTCGGGCTCCATCTTCGCGGAAGCTCTTCAGGGGGTGACGGAGATCTCGGGCAATACGACGGAAAGCTGCGAACTTTGTCGGGGGAAATCGGGGAGAGGAATGCTGCGGTGGGTGCTTGTGGCTTGCTGGACTACTACTGATCGGTAGATTCCGGGAGACCGAAGGGATGATTCTGTTCGGCACGATTCGTCGTTTTTTTTTGCCAGCGGACGACACGTTACGGTTAACACCGTTGCGTGTAGCTCGGTCGACAGCATCGTGTCGTATCCATTGCACGAGTTCTTGTCTTGTACGCTTATCACAGCTCTCTGTTTGGGACGACAGAAACCTCGAATTGGCGCAGGATCTTTCCCCATTTTGTGTTTTCTTGGCAATTTGATCCTCGAATTACACAAATCCTTCTTCCATTATGTCATAAAAAAAATACATGAGTAGCACTATGCCTTTTTCTACCGATTGCTTAACTTTACTTTTCATGAAATTGTGGATTATTTATTAGAATATAAGCCGGCTCGACTGAGCTAAGTTCGAATGATATGTCCGGACCGATTTTTTTCGGAAATGTTCAATTTAATGCTTTTGATTCTTGATGATGCTTCTACTAAAAAAAAAATAGAAAAATCTTGATGATTCTGGGTACCCTATTGATCATCAATTCTGTCTCCTCCTTCCCATCGAGTGTGCTTTCTAGATGCCTTTCACTCTGGTTGAACCAAATAGAGACCATGCTTTCGGAATAGCATTCGGCAACGAATAAAAGGAACCCGTTGAAAAATGTCAAATTTCAGGATTTTGAATAAGTTTTGGGGCATGAATTAAAGAGTAAATGGTATATTTCGATACTTTCACTGCCTTCGTGAACATGTGATGATAAGTTCTAGGTAGATATTATCATATTAGATTGCATCCACACCAACTAAAGTTCTAATCTTTGCAAAAAAAAAAAACAATGAACATTATTTAAATTAAGGGTTAATACCACCAAAAACCCTAAATTGGTACATGTGTGACAATTTTACCCCGAACTTTTTTTTTTACCACCAAAAACCCCAAACTGGTACACCTGTGACAATTTTACCCCAAACTTTTTTTTTTTTACCACAAAAAACCCCAAACTAGTACACCTGTGACAATTTTACTCCAAACTGGTAAACCCGTGACAAATTTATCCTAAACTATTTTTTTGACCACGAAAAACCTCAAACTGCTATACCTGTGACAATTTTACCCCGAACTAATAATTTTTTAATATTATTTTTTTTTTTTTCAAATTTTTTTATTTTTTCTTTTCTTTTTTTTTCTTCATCTTCAACCTCTGGCCAGTCATCGGACCGGCGACCGGCCAGAGGCGGAAGCCGACGAGGTCGGCCCCGCCGGCCGCTGGCGAGGGCCGCCCTCGCCCGACTCGGGCGTCGGGCGGCCCTCGCCGGCGTCGGGCGAGGGCGGCCCTCGCTGGGCGGGCGAAGGGCGCCTCGCCCCGCGAGCAGGCCGCCTCGCCCGACGCCGGCGAGGGCCGCCCTCGCCCGCGCCGGCGAGGGCTCGCCTCGTCCGGCGAGGGCCGCCCTGGCGCCGGCGAGGGCATCCTCGCCCGATGCCGGCGAGGGTAGCCCTCGCCCGACGCAGGCGAGGGTCGCCCTCGCCAGATCCGGCGAGGGCAACCCTTGCCCGACTCAGGCGAGGGTCGCCCTCGCCCGACGCCGGCGAGGGCGGCCCTTGCTAGCAGCCGGCGAGGGCGGCCCTTGCTAGCAGTCGGCGGGGACGACCTCGTCGGCTTTCGCCTTTGGCCGGTCGCCGGTTCGGCGACCGGCCAAAGATTGAAGATGAAGAAAAAAAAGGGAAAAGAAAAAACAAAAAAATTAATAAAAATTCGAAAAAATAAAAATAAAAAATATTAAAATTTTAGTTCATG